ACACACACACACACACACACACACACACACACACACACACACACACACACACACACACACACACACACACACACACACACGTGATATCAAAATCATGAATAATGTTCAGTATATTGGAATGGGTCTTATAAAACAATTTTGTTATTGAAGACAAGGACATTGGAAAAAGAGGCCCCATTCTCAAGTGAACTATATCAAGAATTGCTGGAAGATGGAGAAGTATTAATTCCATTACCTCAGCATGGGACGGGTACTTCTAATGTAGTTGAAAAAGTTTTTATGAAGTAAGTCTGCCTGTATTGAATTGTATTTTTTTTACCATTATCTTCACATGCAAAAAAAAAAACATTTTGATGTTGAAAATAAATTGATATTAGGTTTTGTTTTAGAATGATGCTAGGACATCAGAAAAAAAGGCCAAACATCTGGTCTTTGTATCCCTTTATGTATTGAGATGATGACATTTGCTCCAAGTATTTTAAAAATATAACATTGGTTAACACATTCTTCGTGTATTATTGACTTCAAGAATTAAAAAAAAAAACATTTTTGAGCCTAGTACCTGTTATTTATTTTGTCCAGAATATATATGTACATATTTTGTACTTTTGACAAATTGGATGTAATTTAAGAAACATAAAGTATGGGTAATTACATTATTATTTTTTTATATTTATAACCAATAGGGAGGCTCCTGCAGACATTGTTGAAGTAGAAGATAAGACAAGTAAACTTTCTTTGGCATCAGAGGCCGCACCAAATATTACTTCCCAGGAAACCACTGAATCATCAGAAATAGACAGTCAGAATGTCGACAATTTGCTACAGGACAGTGACAAGAGATTTGAGGAATCAGTGGTGTCAGAAACAGTTTCTCAAGGTGATCATTCCACTCAAAGTCAAGGTAAAGATCAACCTTTGACAGAGAGTGAAGAACAAAGTGAAAATGCAAAAATAGGACAAGAAAAAAATGAAGAAAATTCTGTAGATGTTGCTGAATCTACAGGGAAAGTGGAAGAACAACAAAAATCAGACAAAACTGAACCAAATTATGACAATGTAGAATTTGTTGTGCAGGAGAGTGATCATAAGGCTCAAGGTGCTGGGGTCAAGGTGGCCGAGAAGGAACCTAAAAAGCCAGACAAAGTCAGAGAGTGGACATTATCAGAGCTGAAGAAAGAGTGGAGAAGATTCAATTTAGACTTGGCTCCAAAGGTTTGTGGTTGATTATATGCAGTGTAAGCTGTTTTGCAATAAGCAAAATTAATGAATTATAAAGTTGTATAAAATAAGAGTTGATTTTTGCATGCTGGCATGGGTATTCACAGTGAATTTGAAGTTAAAGTCATAATAACTCTTCGTTTTGGCCAAAAATACGACTTTCCTGGAAAAAACGGCAATTTTCCCCTACTTACCAATGGTCAACCACCCCATTCCTGCATTCAAAGTTAATCCAGGGTTTTTTTCCTAAACGTACGGTTTTTTGTTAAAATCTCTTAAGAGATTTTAACTGACGGAGCCTTCTCTCTGACATGGCAGTCACGCGATATCGAGCGATAGTTTCTGGTGACCTACTTAAAACTGCGGGAAAAGCAGACAGCAACAACACTATATAACAATATTATAAGATTCATAAGATATATTCGTCTTATTGCTCAAAATGCATTTATATCTACAATGTGTGCAATTCTGGGCTTTTCGTTATCCGACGCACTGTACAAAAACTCGCAACTTACGTCTGAGGGTTTCCCGCCAATGTTATTTTGGTCTTGAATGAACGCGAGAATCCGCGCGATACCTAAACGTCATTGGCAACGGATGCACTTGTCTACCGTGAAGAAAGGCATCGAAAGCCCAAGTGACAAGCACAGATTTTAGTTTTACTACAATAACAGTCATTTTAGTGGGAAAATGCAATAGAATATATTTCCAGGCGTTGTTTACAATGTATTTCTTGCGGAATTTTGAATCTCAAAGGAAGAGTTATTATTGCTTTAAGGTAAAGTAGTAATACTCAGTGTGTTTTTCAGATGCTTTACTCTAGAGGATCACTTGTTGAGCTGCTGATATCATCTGACATAGCAAAGTACTGTGAATTTAAGACTGTGACTAGGATTCTAACTCATCTGAATGGGAAAGTGGAGCAGGTATTTTATTCATAATTATAATTTTCATTATTTATTTTTTTGTAAGACACTTGATTGAAAATGAAAACATGTGACATGTTTTTATTTTTTAATAATTTTTATAACTTCTTGCATTTCTCATGAATAGTACAATGTTAATAAAGTAATAAGTCTTAACTCATAGAAAACTGGTAAATTTTGCCCTCCCCCTCCCTTTCACTAAAAAGAATTAAGCGTTTCCAGTCATTGCATTGTGTTCATGACAGATGTTATTTAATTAAAATATTCAAAGTGAGAAATCTTGGAAAAATTTAATATTGAACTTTTTTATTATAATTACATAAACTTACGACCTATCAACTGTTCAGTATTATAAAATGAAGCTGATTGTCATACTTGCAGGTTCCTTGCTCCAGAGCTGATGTTTTTGGCAGCAAAGCAGTGACCATGGTGGAAAAAAGAATGCTTATGAAATTCCTTACCTTCTGTATGGAATATGAAAAGCATGCAGAGGACTATCAAGGTAATCAGTTTTGGAGATTAATTGATTGTTATTAAAATTAAATATGTCAACTGTATCCCAACAAATTACAATTGCAGGTAATAACTGCTGTAATATAAATGATAGTTGTGATATTGGCAATAATAATGATAATGATGATGATGATAATGACAATAATAAAAACAAAGACAGTAATAATGATGATAGAAATATAATATTTAGCTAGGATGATATAATATAATATCATATCAACATGATATAATTTAAAGACTTTTTTGTTTCAGAGTATCAGGAAAAACCATACACAGAGTTTTTAAAATCCAAAAAGCTGTCAGCCACAGTTCAGCACTACATTTGTCAGGCCATTGCAATGTCCACTGACAAAACAAACACCATAGAGGTAAGACATTTTACTAGTGTTATAAGTAAATTTAATCTTTATACAGCTATGTAATTTGCTAAGTTTCAGGTTGTGGTGATTGCATACATTACATAAAAAATGTTGCTCATAGAATACAAGTCTAGTTGTTCAAAAGGTCAATAGGGTTCTACAGATGTCTTCAGTTTAAAAGGAATCAACAAGTTCTACAGATAATGATCCACTTAAATAGACATTGCTAAATAGTTTGATTTTTAAGGTAAATTGTTTATCATCTTGAAACAATACAACATATTTTTCAAGTGTTTGACAGTTATGAAATGATATTGCTGTGTCCTATATCTTTATGATTCATCTTAGGGTTTAAGAAGAACAAAGCGCTTCCTTCAGTCTATTGGACGGTATGGCAATACTCCCTTTCTTTGGCCTCTATATGGCAGCGGAGAGCTTCCACAGTGTTTCTGCAGGCAAGTTAAAACCCGTAATAATATTTGGAATCCATACTGGTGTTTTCAATATCAAAAAATGAGAAAGTATGCAGATAATTTCTTCTTGTAATATTGCTTGGTAATGTCTTTAAATTGTGTAAGTGGATGGTTATTGGGCATGGACAGCATTAGTTATTTGAGTAGTTATATATATATATATATATATATATATATATATATATATATATATATATATATATATATATATATAATTAACTGCAGAAAATTAGATATTTCAACACAATCATTTTATTGAGACTGAAATTGATGAAATTCATTCCCCTCTTTTGTTCTTACATCATTTATCATTTTTTTTAAATATTTTTTCCTTCTCTTGTCCAGCCAGTCCCAAATGAAAAGTAAGCTTTTATGTTGATTTTTTCAGGATGTGTGCAGTGTTTGGTGGAACCTATATCTTGAGAAGGACTGCCAGAGCATTGATCATGGGCAAAGACAATAAGTATGAAAATAATTTATATAAAAATGTCTATGACATAGACTTAAAAAATAAACTGTGGAAGGCATTTTTAAAACTTTTATAATCAGATTTTGCTGCGAGATGTAAATGTCTGTAAATAGAAATATATTTAAATCCAGTATCATGATGAGTGCTGTGTGCGTGCGTGCGTGTGTGCTTGCGTGCGTGCGTGTGTGCTTATACAGTTGAAACAAGGAACAATGATAAAAATTATATTATTTTCAGATGTGTGGGCATTATAGACACAGAGGGTCTAAGAATGAAGTGCAAGTGAGTTTATATACAATATCCTAATGCAATTTACCCATTTACTGCAAATAGTATTTTGCACATTTTTATTATACTTTGTGTTTCTAGACTTTAAAAAATTACAAACATGTATCTAGAAGAAGGAAAGTACAACTTTTGGAATTATTGTAAACTGTAAGTATAGCGTATGGACATGTAATTTATTGTCAGTATTGAGAAATTTTATTGATTAATTATTTAATTTTTTTTTTCAGTTGGGTTATAATGGAAGGAGGCCTTGCATCAGAAGCATTGTTGCCAGAAAATTCTAGGAACAGGTAAGGGACTAGGGCCAGTCTGAAGTGATGTGTCCTCCAACTGGGTGTATTTCTTATTTAATAAATCCTTAAATCAGGATAAAATGATGTAAGAACTCATGGTCATGTGCCCTGAAAATCACTTTCTTTTCTTTAAGAATGTTATATCTTAAACGGGGTGCACAGACAGTAGAAAAGTAAACATTTATGAATATCAAAAGTGGTTTCTCATTTAACACATACTGGGTTTTAATTTGCTCTTCTTTATGATTTCTTTTGCAGGAAAAGTTCTAGGGGGATTTACATCACTGACAAATCTTTGTGCACAGATGATCAAGATCAGGTAGGTGTCCTAACTATTGTAAAGTGAAAAATATCGACTTTACTTTCTTGATTTTTTATACTGACAGTAATATTTCGCTCTAAGTAAGTGTCAAGATTTTACAAGTTTTTAGGAAATAATGATTAAATAACTATGCAGTTGTTTTAAATATATGTGGATATGGATATGTAATGTTTTGGTACATTTTATAAGTTATATTTTACTCTGTGGATCTCTGCAAGGCCCTCACACTTGCATACAAGCATATACACAAGCACACACACAGACACACACACACACACACTAGTGGGAATACTTAATGTTTTGGTACATTTTATACTACATTTTACTCTGTGCATCTTTCTGCAAGACTCAAACTTGCATACACACACAAATATTCTCTCTCTCTCTCTCACACACACACACACACACACACACACACACTACTTGTACTTGTGAGATACATATTTGTCTGTCTGTAGATTACTCTGATGCATCTACCACCAGCTAATGGCCAGACAGATCCTATCACTGTCATGGAGCTGAGCCCTGCTACATATGCCTGTCCCAAGGGACTTCGTAAGTCAAAACTGTGCATATACCAGTCCTCTATTATATGATATCTGGTTAATTTACATGTACTAAGTGTCCTGCATTCAAAACATGTGCTCTGACTGTGCATCATGTACATATAAATCTGTGTAAAAACTCAGGTGTCATGGAAACAAAAACACTAGAATCCTGAAACATCTTTTAGTTTAAGGCAGTGGTATTACTGTGTCCTGCTCTTTTGATTTCAGATGTGGTGCATTTGACTTGTCAAGGTTGTAATTCAGCTGAAGAAGACCTTAAGCCAGCTGAAGATCTCCTCTTCAAGCCTGTTGAACAAGGTAAAGATCATACATAAAGATGGTTTATTCAGTTCAGGATGAAAGTCATTATAGAAGAGAACATAATTTATAGTAAATGACTACTGTAACACTTAAATATTGGTTTCCCCCATTAGGGTTATATTTATGTGCAGATGATGTCTGCATAAGTTGACATTGCCTTCTTCTGTCCACATTGTTGGAGGCCGAGTAGGAGCCATGAACACTGTGACTGCCATAATGTTGCCATTTTGCTTTAACACATTGTTCTCAAATGTCTGTCAAGTTAATAAATTTGGCATTATCTGATTTTGCCCACACATATTTTTTCACATAATTATCATCAATGCCATTGGTTTTGATAACTATTCTTCCAGTAGAGCCAGAGCCTACAGATACCAGGCCCAGAGTGCTGTGGTCACTACACCTGAACCAGATGGACAACACTGGATGTGATTTGAATGAGAAAACCCCAGAGAATGTGGTCCTGGTGGCTGGACCTGGGGCATCACTGGATTTTGAGCATTCCATTCTAGAGGTGAGTCAGCACTATGGTATCAAAATTTTAATATCAAAATATTAGGTATCTTCTTAATTTAATGGCACCTTTGGTCAGAAGCTGATCCCTGCTTCTTAAGTCTGCCCCAAGTCCTCTGAAATATAATATCTGCTTGTTATTCATGTAACTACATGTATGTAAAAGATTTTCACACAAGATGTGCATGCTGATCATATGAAATGGTGTTAAATTTCACAAGCTTGGTGCATTGATCAGTTACTTCCTTTTTACAGTCTGCATCATCAAAATTCACATTTTCATAATTCTTTCAAATTTTCCTCTCATTTTCAGGCAAGACAAGTCTTTGAAAAAATATGCCCAGGGGAAGAGTTCCTCCCAAAAGCCCCCAATCCTGAAGACATAATATTTGATGATGGCCAAGAGGCAGCTAATGGAGACAGTGGCTTTGAAGCTGATGTGAATGATGAAGGTGCTGACCAAGAAGAAGGTCACTCTCAGGACACGGACAGTGAGGTGGACGCTGGGGTGGCTGAAGAAGGGTCAGAGTGGTCTTAGTTAATGAAGCAAGTGGTCACCAGTGGAATTAACTTAAGAGTTTATTCAGCCATTAATATACAAATTAAAAATGCACATATAATGGAAATTGGATTGCTGTTTGGGTAAAATGTTTGAAATTTCAAGGTTGCAACATGCTTGCTAAAATTCTATTTTGTTTTTTTTTTTGTTAAAATGAGAAACAGCAGATGGATAAAACTCTTTAAAAATCTTTTGGGTTTCTTGAAGGTTAAAAGTTTACAGTTCTAATTTGTGATGGTGGATGTTTGTAGAGGATCCTGGAGTGGAGCCTTTTGAAATCTAATGTTTTATCAGTCTAGTCTGGACTTGCTTATCAGTCATGTGGTTCCTTGTTATGTAATGAATTCTGGCAAAGCTCGAATGAAAAAAAAAATAGTTTAAAGTATTAGAATACACATTATTCATTGTGTAATGTTATTGGTTGTATTCAAAGTGATTTTAAAAAAATCCTATGGTAAGTGACCTTTTTGTCACTATATCCCAAGTTTTCAACGGTCTGAATGTGTGTTTTAAAAAAGATGAATTATACTAGTTAATAATGGTGATATGAACATGCAAGTTCAAGTTATACCCATGTCTGTAGCACCCCCCTTTCGTGCTCAATGGACATATTGCTATATGAAGTATAAGTACAAAGGGAAGTGTTAAGGACAGAAAAGTTAGAACATATGCATTGATTTCAATTTTGGTTCAAGATTTATTCCTGTAACTCTGTGCGTTTGATAACATCGTTATCAAGTAGTAATGTACAAGTGGAAATGACTATTTAGTGTGTAATAAGTGTACATTTTTGTATCCTGGATAGAATAATGGATAAACTAATGTGGCAAAAAATATATGCACACCTGGATGCTTTAAACATTGAATTAATAATATTTAACTGCTGTGCTTCGATTTGATCTTTCCATATGATTAAATCATCGTAGTACCTGAGAGTACAGTATTATTTCCTTTGCAGCTTCATTATACATTGTGCAATTTTGTGTATGTTTATGTATGTATGTCTATGTAAGAATTGTCTTATTACTAAATAAAATCAGGGGGATGGACATTGATTTAGTCATTGTTTTCCTGTAATTAACCCTTAAGTGGATTTAGTTAGCTCGTTGCAGGGCAGGGCATCTATCTGCCTACATGCATGAACGTGTAACTGTTTTGTACATGTATTAGAGTGCATGGGGGGTCCCTACATCAAGAATTTTTTAATGATTATACACAGGCTGAACACGTGTTGTGGCGGTGGCTGCAAATGCGCGCCACTCCCCTTGCTCGGAATGATCCATACCTCTGCATTAACATGACAAAAGGCCCGAACTTCGCGTAACGGTCAGGATTTACATGTACGTCTTGGTGCATTCTGCACTGATAAAAGATTGGTTAAGTTATAAATATTAATTGGACGAATAATACGATCCTTTTAAATTCGCCGTGGGTCATACGTCTCGATCACTCCAGAACTCGCCCAAAAGTCTGATTTCATTAATGTATCTTTCAAGCAATACGTAAATATATTCCCCTATTTCTAGAGAAAATGATTACAGTAGCAACTCGCCTAGTCACGTGCGACCTTGGTGATTTACATAACAAGTAGTCGGTGGGCACGGTGCGAGACGTTTTCTGAATTCTAGTCGCTTGACAGCTGGACTGTGTGAGACGAAGACGTAAGGCCGAACTTTCAACTGCGTTGAAGCAAATATGTCTTGTAAGTGACATTTCTTTTTCAGTCTTGTAATGAAGACGTATAATAATGAAAAAAAGTTAGGCGTAACGTGAAATGGCAGTTTATATGTGCAACTTTGTTTGCATTTCTATTGTTCTCTGTCGGTAATGACCATGGTGTTATTTGCACTCGGAATGTTTCTCACAATGGCCACTTTTCAACTTTTCTAGTACCGTGTAGTTCACGTTTCTGGGTGTTCAAATTACCATGTTATGCCCTCTAAAAAAACAGTGGATAATATACATGTAGCTGGGTGGTCTTTCACATTTTGAAGTTGTGGTGACTATCTTTTAAAATATTTAAAAACTCGATGGCACGCTGTCGCTGGAAGCATGGAGAATACGGATGCATGTAAACTGTCACATTTTGTTGTCCAGTTTCTGTCACCTGTATTTTATAGACATTTCTTCAATATTTGTTCAATTTACTAGTATTTAACTTTGAGTGTCTGCTTAAAAAATCTTTTTATTTTTCTTAATTTGAAGCTAAAACACATGAACAAAGGTGGTGGATTTTACATTTACGTTTTTTTCCTGGCCATTCGTTTCAAAGTGCTAGAGACAAGCATCACATTTATTGACATTTGCTCAGAAATATACATGTATATAGTTCTTTTGTGCTCCTTTCATTCTAATTTTATATCTTTTTATTGAAAATTCTTTATAAATTTGATGCTCAGCCAGTGCTAATTCTTTCAATATCAACTCTACTTTTTCATTTGAAGTTTCTTTAGTCTTAATGAATTCATGTATCACCTTAGAATAATTAATTGCGTTATTAACGTATTATATTCATATTTCAGAACTGCAATCTAATTCGCTGACTGCAGAAGGCACGTGACTAATGGAAGCACGCCTAGCCTTCAGTCCGTATTAAGGAACTGGGCACACTCATGCAAACGAGCGCACACGTACATACAGTTATAACGATTGAACAGTTTTACGAACTGGTGAACTGGCGCCTGATCTTGTTGTGATTTTAAAATCATTGTAGGATTACATATTGATTCTCTTAATTGAAAATAATTTACTGGTATCATTCGTAAGCCATGTACCTTAGGTATCAATCATAATTTTTTTTAATTGTTCCAAACAACTAGCTCGGATGAATCTGATTTCATTAAAACCCTTTCGGCTACTCAAACTATCTACACGATTAATTAAACTTTGGGGATAAGGGTGTGTTTTTTCAACGTAAAGTTAGTCTAATCTCTGGTAAGATCATTCTTTAAAGTCGATTAGCTATCACATGGTATTTTTTTCTTAATTGACATTGTAGAATTGCATTTATTAATTTTAGGTGTTTATAACGATGCAATCGTAAACTAACGAGTGACGAACTATTTCACCCGAATAAATGTACATTTCTTTTTGGAGTTTTCAATTTCTAAACGACCCAGAGACGGTTATAAAAGTGGTGTTTATATTCACAAGCTTTTTAAATTATATGTAATCTAGTTCAAATTGTATTCTTTGAACTGATTCAAAACACACATAGATGGCTTGAAAACTTTGCAAATTGTCAAATGATATCTTTGCCCAAATTTTGTCCACGTATTGAGATCACTGCTTATGTGATGCAGTGCCTTACGTCGCACATTAAGAATTCACGTGAATTTTTTCACTACCGATTGTTATTTTAAAAATATAAATGGTATTTAATTTCAGTTTCGCCAGCGTCTATCTTATTAACAGTGCTGAAACATAACAGCCAATTTAAAGGAGAAATAAATATATGCTGTAGATTTTTCCAATTTATCATGTAGCATACTTTGATAAATCCAATTCTTTTTATAACAAATCCCTCCATTTTTCATTATTTGCCTTCATCCTTGTATGCATACGCTATGGATATTCTAACATTACTTGTGAAACAACGCTTGAATCTGAAACCAAAATTGGTAAGAAAGACCAACATTTTGAAACAATGCACCAGTATTCCACAATTCAGTATCTTTTTAAAGTAAAATTAAAATTTACTTAATTTTCATACATTTTCGCCTAGCGTATTACGTTTGAATGGTCCTTTTCAGGCACTTTGTATGCGCAAAAAAATCAATTTTTCTGTTTGCAAGAGTATTGTGTATCTTGCTATCAAAATAGTTGCGTTTCTATTGAATAAAATAAAATCTGCATTAAACTATGTTTTTACATTCAATTTATTAAAACTTAGGTTCATGTTAATTATCATGCATACTGCACGTACAAAGCTGTTTCCAATTGATACTTTTAAAATGTATTTGATTCTGCAATCCTATTTAATTCAAATCTTAATAAACTGTGTTATTGGTAAAGCACGTGGTGTTTTTTGTTTTTGTCCATCCCGTGGCGAGGCTTGACTGGTAAGGCAAGTCCATTTTATTTGAGGGGTGACAGCTGGGGCGAGTCCATTCTATCGAAGGGGTGACAGGTGGGGCGAGTCCATTTCATTTGAGGGGTGACAGGTGGGGAGAATCCATTTCATGTGAGGGGTGACAGGTGGGGCGCGTCCATTTCATTTGAGGGGTGACAGGTGGGGCAAGTCCATTTTATCAAAGGGGTGACAGGTGGAGCGAGTCCATTTCATTTGAGGGGTGACAGGTGGAGCGAGTCCATTTCATTTGAGGGGTAACAGGTGGGGCAAGTCCATTTTATCAAAGGGGTGACGGGTGGGGCGAGTCCATTTCATTTGAGGGGTGACAGGTTTGGCTAGTCTATTTCATTTGAGGGATGACAGGTGGGGAAAATCCATTTCCTTTGGGGGTGACAGGTGGGAAGAGCCCATTTCTTTTTTGGAGGGTGGCAGGTTGTGTGAGTTCATTTTATTTTAGGGGTGGCAGGTGTGGAAAGTACATTCCACACGAGGGGTTGCAGGTGGGGTGAGCCCCTTCTATTTTGAGGGTGAAAAGTAAAGATCAAAACAATGTAAAGAGGATTTACTTGGCCACATAACAATTTTGTGCACCAATTAGTTGGAAGTTAAAACTAAACCATTTAATTCCATATCCAAGAATTTCTTTATAGATAGATATATTTTATCTCTATGATTTAGTGCAAAGGTATTAAGTTTTTTTTTAGTTAGTGATTTCAGAACACGGGGCTCCCCTATTGCTTTTGTGATTAAACATCAGCGAAACAAACGATTTAGAAGCATGCAAAACAAACCAAATCAAAGGGTCTATCCCAATAAGAAAAATTGAGAAACTTGGGCAGCAAGATAACACCAAAATTCCTCAAAGAGAATGGGGCAAATCCAAAATAAACAAGTATGCCAGCAAGGTTTGCAGGGCAGGGGATGTCAACATTTTATTAACATAATTGAATAGTACATGAAGCTCTAATATGCCAAGATTTGAAATCAAATAAATAATTACTTGAATTATTCAGTATATTTTTATGACCTGGTGATGGAAGTAGGAAAATCATCTTTACATGATATATTTCATTAAACGAAACACGTTCATGAGAATAGGAATTTGAACATTTGTGATCAATACTTTACCATCCCAAACTATTTAGCCAATTTCAGTGAGAGGCGCAATCTTTAAACTATCTGTATTTGGTGCTTAATTTCATTATAGTATAAGGTTATTTTAGAAATAGAAACAAATTTAGCAAAGTACGATTTTAAGTACAAATATTCTTGCAGGTATTTCTAAAATATTTTGAATACATTTTTTCTGGATTTAAAAAAATTATTGCCCAAATAGGATTTACTTGGCCACATAACAATTTTGGGCACATTAACAAAATCTAAAAACTACATGTATTTCAAATTAAACAAATAAGGTAACACCAACATAAATAGCAAGAGCAATATTGATAGATTAAACTTTACAGAAAATTTTGAAAGCGCTCGACAAGCTGTTACATGGCTATCAGATCAATCATTTCCCTTATTATCATTACCATTTAAGTACTTCATATCAAAATGAAAAACCAAAGATAAATGCGTTTATTCGGTTTTAAGACAATAATGTGCATATAACGGCGACGGGTTCCAGAATCCGAATAAAAGACGGGGTTACTTGCAGGTTCCGTTTATGCAGTAAATCGGAAAATTTGGTGCATCTGAAATACGAAAAAAAATATTTAGTATTGATACTTGCGTATGATAGATATACAAGGTTTGTACTTATAATTGAAATCCCTAACATCTTGTTGACATTTCTGAAAGTTTCAGAAAAAAAAGGTTTGGCTTGAGATTACCTTAGATAATGGTATGAAATTAATGCATATATCGAATTTACGATGACCGTCAAGATATTGCACTAAAAATTGAATTTGATTAAGGATAATATAATAATAATATATTTATTTAATTTGATTAATACAGGGTATACATATAACATGTCTTGATATTGTTAGCGTTGTAATCTATGGCGAGATGAGGCACATTACATGCAGACGGCGTGAACCTCTATGTATAATAATATTCTTTTTAATTAGCATTACACTTAGTGCATTGAGAAACCAAATAAAGTTTGATGCTACTCGACGCACAGCCGTGTGCACTGATTTTTCTGCATGCATTCTGATATACAACATAACAAAGACGTGTTATAAAAATTTGACTAAACTTACGCGATTCTAGTGTTTTATTACAAAGATAATTGTACATATAATGATACTTGCAAGATATATTTTCTTCTACGCCTAATAAAAGCTTGAACTTGCGATTGTACCTTGCATATCCTGCGTCTTCACTTTACGCTGCCCAACTGTCAAGTGACCAGTCTGGAAGACAACTCATGCTGCGATGAGTGACTTATTGTTATGTAAATATCAATAGGTAGGGTTCATTTTAGGTGAGGGGTCGTGGCTCAAACCATTCTCACGAGAAAAAGCAAATGAACAATCTGATAGCTTCTAAAAAATAACTGTATTCCCTTAGACATTTGATGTATTCAGACGTTCTTAAACTATAGATATTACAGATTAGATATTGAATCCATTCTTCTATAACTGTAGTCTAATACATCAAACAGGAATAAAAAAGAACATGCATGCTGGAAAAAATTCAGCTGGTTTTTAATGTTGACAAACGTATTACAGCTGAGCGCATTTTATTGCCGTTTCGCAAAGAGTAATTTAACGATCTTGTTATTCGTATATCATTCTTGAAAGTTTCAATTGTGCATGTTTTTAATTAAAAAAAGAATAAGATAAAATTACCCAGTTCTCTCTATTCATGTATGTCACAAGCACGCTTATTTTGGCAAAGAATGTCCGATGAAGGCAGTGGCGGTTTCTGAAAAAAATCACGCTAATATTCCCCTCTTGAAATTATAATTGTAGTTGTATTTACGAGTTGTAGAGTTGTATTTACTACCTCGCATAACGGCAGAAAATAAAGCTAACAACTTCGTCACATAGCTATATGTCACGGGCTTATCCAGGATTATTTGAAGGGGGTCCGGAACGAAGCCGACCATCGCCCCCTTGGAGTGGGGTTCGGGCCTGCTCAAGGGCCCCGAAAAATTTTATGTGTTTTAAAGAGCAAACAGTGTCCTTTGGTAAGGTTTAGAACTGTGATTTAGCTGGTCAAAATTCTAATTTCAAGAGGGGAATATTGGTGTGAAATATTTTTTCAGAAACTGAAGGGGGGGGGTCGGGACCCCCATGACCCCCCCTTTAAATCCGCCACTATATATATATATATATATATATATATATATATATATATATATATATAGGCTATATATATATATATATATATATATATATATTGAAGAATGGGATTCGGCTAAAATTAATATCATTTAAGCAAAATAGAAGTATTGGTCAAGGCTCATTTTACTTGGGAAATACTTTAGTGGCAGAGGTCTACAAGGAGGAAGGGGGGAACGAACCGCCCTTTGTGTCGATAAAAAGGGGCAGCTCTGGGTTAAAACTGACCTAGGTACACGCAGGTTTCACGATAAAAGGTCCACGTTTTCAGATCAAGGCTATGGTCCTCTGCAATGAGCCCGTATCTTCCATTTCAACCCCCTTTAGTGTGGTCTTTTTAATATGGCAAAATGCCGCACGGTTAACATTAAAAGGTCAATACAGATTATCGTTTCTCTTAAGACTGTCTTTGTAAACCCCTCCAGTTAATTTTTAACCTTATTAATATATACGCCCATATTTTGACTCTATATCTAACGATATCTTAGTACTGTGCAACGTATAGGCAATGTTTGCTCACTATTGTGTTATGCCATCGTTTAAGTAAAGCGTGATTCATTATACAGTTTTATTAATGATTCCACGCATGCAAGTAAGATACAGGTAAACCCTATTTTTGAGGCCGTGGGACGTCCTTCATCAGGGTCCTCGTATTTAATTCTATAAAGACTGACTTGAGCTGAAGTAGTTCCTGGATGCAGACGACATGGTGCCAGAAGATTGTCTTTAATAATGTTACGTACGTGCATGTTAAACTGGATACAAATGGAACTAAGTGAATTGCTATCTGCCTAGATATATATAAATATTAACTAGGCAGTATCAGCAGCCAAGGTGCTTTGTTTTCCTACTGTGATTACTGTGTCACTCTGTCGAGAGGATAGACCTCCGTATTTAACGCAAAATATACATGTAGGTTTGCCATTTTCCAAGATGCGAGGAATATTAAGTGCGTTACATCTTGCTGGGTTACTTTTTGTAGGCGTCACACATGGAACTGACATGAACAAACACGTTAACGTCACTTTTACTCCTGGCTCGCTAGAAATGCTGTTTGAGGAGGCGGAGATGACGATAGTCGCAACTATGCACAGTGATATCCAGCAGAATATTTATATTCAACTCTCTCCGGAAGACGGGGCCGTTGTCTCTGTAACAAACGATACAAACTTTTTATACGATACTTGGGACACTACTGCAAAGAGCACGTATACCAAAAATGTCACTTTCACCGTCAGAGGGAAATTTGTTGGTAAAACAACCCTAAGCGTTCTCCTCTTCAACACTGCCGACGCATTTAAGGCCAATAACAATCGTACGGTATTCCCGTCCCGCTACAAGGTCAATGTTCTTCGTAACCCAAAGGCTCTGGATACAATATTTACTATTGTTGTTGCCGTGTCTGTGTCTATCAACACTATCGGATTTGGTTGCAAGTTGGACCTAGATGTTGTTAAAGAAATTCTTAAAAAGCCGGTCGCTCCGGTGGTAGGCTTAATATGTCAGTACGCGGGAATGCCCATGGTAAGTTGAATTTGGCATAACATAAATGAATGAATAAAAATTGAAATTGCCCAGAGAAATGCACTTTTTATTCTTAATTATCTTTTTGCGTGTTGAATACCTTATTTACATTAACTTGCCAACAATCTAACAAATTACATTAAACAAATAATTTTATCGTCGAAACAAGCACACATAACCTCATTTGAGGACAAACTAGTCTTGATATAGATAGATAGTATTCAACGAGCAAAAAAGTAATTGTTTAAGCAACATTTTTCATGCCCACAGGCTTGCTATAAAAAATTCTTATGCGTAACCTTTGTATCAAGGTCGACTGGGAATCTACCGGTATAAAAGTTTTATGCTAGTACTCTGCAGAGTGATTAGCACATGACGAACGTCAACTTATTTCGGCTACAATTGTTCCCAGCACAGATAACAGGACAACCTTGTGAACTAGATCTCGAATTCCAATCATGAGTGTTTGCTCAAGAAAATGTTTTATTGACTTCTGTTAATATGTGCAACTTAAAAATTCGGTTCTTGTGTGCGTGTATGATATTTTTAAATGCCTTTATTGAAATCACTCACACCTTTTCTAGGTAATAATCATATTCAAACAATTCTTTTTAAAACAACAGATATCATTTTCCATAGCGAAGATCCTGAAACTTCCAAACGAGTTGGCCCTCGGGTTGTTTGCCATAGGCTGCAGTCCAGGAGGAGGCGCTAGCAATATCTGGTCACTGTTACTGGACGGTGACGTCAGCTTGAGTCTAACCATGACTTTTATCAGTAACGTTGCTGCATTAGGTAGGTGTCAAATAGAAGTTCACATTTTAAAAAATCAATGTGTCTGCTGGACTTTCAAGATATCAGGCCTACCCAACTACCAGACTCGGCACCGAATGATCCTGAATTCACCGGTAGATCAGACCACACTACCCGTTTTCAAGGTGTGTGTCAGATTGCATTACACAGTATCATACCCTTAACAAATTTGGTGATGCAATGCTTTTCAACCCCGCTGAGAATCGTCACTATCACATCGCGTACTAGGCAAGAGTGGTGTCGCGTCTGATACTGTGTAATGCGATCTGACACACACCTTGAAAACGGGTAGTGTGGTCTGATCTACCGGTGAATTCAGGATCATTCGGTGCCGAGTCTGGTAGTTGGGTAGGCCTGGATATGTCATTCTATGATTTCTATGACTACATGTATGACGACGATGTGTCCTTCCCACGGGGGCGTCTCGATAGTCCGAAGGTTCATTGGTCCGAAAAATGGTAACATTTTCATCGGTTTTTTAATCAAGGGTTCATATGTCCGAAGGTTCTATAGTGAACATTCGGACCAATGAACCTTCGGACTATTGCTACGACCCCCTTCCCACAGTATCTGATGATTCACCAGAGCGACGACCTAACCAGAGGGGAAATCAGTCACAGTCAAAGTGCTAGCTGTGATAGTAGTAGGCCTGAACATCTGCACTGAAGACACATATTTTAAATACAGACAACTACTAGGCAACGATCTTTTAAAATGTGTATATGTATTTTGCCTAAGCTCGGTGTTTTATAACCTTCAAAATCAATGGAGGAATTAAAGGTGCGTCACTTAAAATAAGTATGTCTTAGTTCTTCAGCTAGAATAGCCTGGTCAACCTGCCTTTCTTCCCATCCACATTCACTAAATATAAATCGAGGAAAAACTTTGTTATCCGTTTCTCTGTCTCTCTTTATTTTATTTTACTTTCTTGGATTCAGAGTGTTATGTTAAAAACACACAATAAAGAAATCACTGCATATCCAAAGAAATATTATATCCTTCTTTTAACAACTAAAGCCAGGCCTTATATTGTGGATAACCTTTGAGCTAGAGCATATTTTATACATATTATCCGATGACCTTTTATTATTAATAAACTAGCCTATGTTACCCTGTGGCGAACCGTTGTAAAAAAGTTGTCTTTGATGCATATGATTTTTTTTATTATCTCTAGGACTGATGCCCCTCTGGCTGTTCACACTTGGCCAAGTGTTCGCCACTGACGTTACTGTGCCTTACGTCAACATCATCACCTCGCTCATCTCATTGGTAGTACCTGGAATCATAGGCGTACTCATCGGGCGGTTTTTACCAAAAGTCGCCAAAGTTATACGAAAATGCGTCGCTCCTATGTCTTTAATTTTAGTCCTTTTCATCATCACAGCCGGGGTATACACCAATGTATACATGTTCCTTTTAATGGCAAAGGATTGGAGAGTGATCATAGGAGGCGTCCTTCTTCCAGCGGTCGGATATGTAATAGGTTGTATCGCTGCATTTGCTTGTTGTCTACCATGGTATCGCGTCAAGACTATCATGTTCGAAACTGCGATTCAGAATACGGGGATTGCGATTGTGCTTCTCCGGTTTTCTCTGCCTCAGCCGGACGCCGATTTGTCGTCTGTGATGCCAGTTACTGCGACGATGTTCACTCCTCTGCCGCTGCTCTTTATCTACATCGTTAAAAAGATTGTCGGGTGCTGTTGTGGGAAGCCAAAAGATGAGGACGAAGATGACGAGGAGGAAAAAGAAAAAAATGATAAAAATGACGATATAGAAATGAAATCGGAAGATGAAGAAACCCCTAAAAAATTACCAAAGAGATTAAGTCAAGTGCCGTTGACCTCTTTGTGAAAGTTCTAGAAACAGTATTAAGACTAATACATATAAAAGTGGACATAAATTAGACTTAAATAAATTACCCATGATTTCCTTTTTATCAAAATCAAAAATCAAAATGAAGAATATTTTCTTGCTATCGATGGATATGCCTATCTATATTGATGGTTAATCTCTTAATATTTCCTATATCTACTATTTTTGTGTGAAAGTCACGTACCCGCACTAAGATTTGAGGAATTGCCTCTCTTAAAAAGAACTTTTTTTTGGTAAGAGCAAAAAGAGACAAAATCAAACATCTTTTCCGTTCGTGTGCCCTGCATATTATAAAGTACAATTGCCCTTGTTGGACCGTCCTTGTTAAGTTATTTTCTGCATGATAAACCCTGATAAAACCCTGGCTCCGTAGCGGAAAGTCCCGGTTATTGACCTCTAAAGAAAAGGACAGGGCATGGCACTGAATTAAGGTCGTTCATTAGTGTTTACTAAGCGTCGTGTATTTATTGTATTTGAGATTGCAGTAGCCGATATAAATGATGTCCTGGTTTAAGTATATGACAATAAAAAGAAGAATAAATTATTTCTGTGTGTCAATCAAGAGCCCTCGCTGTTTTATCTGTAAAAACACGAGATAATGGTTTTTAGACATTGCCCTAGCAGATTGCAGGTCTGTTTCTTATCCGCCATAAAAGCCACCTATCGATGATCATTTTCGACAAACTTAGATAAAGCCCCACCCAACAGGCAGGTTTCACCTATGTACTTGATCTTTGACATCAGCCGTGCCTGTGACGTTCTATTCAAGTACATTTCAAATCCTAGCCAAGCTCCACCCATTTGTATGATTAATATGGGAATAAAAAAAATTAATTTGGTACGTTAAATGACGATTTAAACCTTTAAAAGGTTTATATAATTCATTCCTTTTTTAAATGTTCATGACATAGTCATATACAAGGAGGTGAAAAAAGTATAACGTCACTTTGCTTTAAAATGAACGACAGTTGAATTTGGTGGGTTTATCATTTTGTAATTCGTGAAAATCGTGTCGTGTATAGTAAATAACTTTACAACAGGTTAACAGACCATTGTTTTACCCTTTATAAATTATGTCATAATGTGTAGTTATATCTTGTACGATAGCCACAAGACCTAAAATGGTCATCGTTTTTCTGGGCACAGACATACGAAGGTGCAGTAATTTTCTGGCTATAGTTGGCCCAAGCTCTGAAGACGCTTTGGATTTCGGCATTTTTGCATTTCTGGTTTTGGGTAACGGTTTCTTCCCACAGGATTCCCGAGGGGTTTGCGTATGGGGATTGTTCCGGCCAGTCCACCTTTTCACATCTTTGGGTATTTATTTTGCTAACAGGGGGTCGCATTTGCTGTACGGCAGTTGGAGGGTTCTTTAGGTCCATTTACTCTTAACACAGCGTAAAACTATGTGTGTATATATATATTAAAATAAGAAAACTTGCAGCTTACAGGTAATCACTTTTCAGATCTTGAAGCAGGGGCATGCAAGATTATGTACATACCAGTATGAGAAGGAGGCTTGTCCCATTAAGAAATTGAAATTATTATTACGATTTGGGGGGATTATTCGCCCATCCAGCCCCCCTCCCCTTCTTTTTCTTATCCTTAGCTTAACTGTGAAAAATATATAAGACTTATTCGGAGAAGCACAGTTTCTGCAAAGATTGACAATTCTTGTCACATGCTTATAAATTTACACAAGTTAAAAGACTACTTTAATTCCCAAATGCAAATATTAGCTACTACTGTGTTATTTGTTCGAATTCTCAAGCAGATGGAAACGAAGCAAATTATACACAAAATGTCTCCGTAAAGCTGTCATTGGTGACAAGTTTGTAGAACTTTGTTTGAACGCATACATTACTTTCAATTTCAGCTTTTACAATAAGAGAGGGTTTCCTCCTTTAAAAAAATAAACCGCAATCTCACGCAAGAGTAGAACTGAATTGTTGACTTCACGTGTTCATGTTTATATATGAAGCACACATTTACCCCCCCGCTTGAAAACAGCTCGTTGAAATATGTATTAAAGGACTTTTTGAAAATTGACGCCTGGGAGCTGACAGGCTAACAGGCTAAGATACACCTGAAAAACGACAGTGTTTTCCCACAGTCTGCTAAAAGGGTGGGACAGCAGTCCTCTCTGGAGGGAATGCCAGGTTATATACATAATGTGATAATCCCCTGTATTGCCTGTATTGCCCGTTGTGACTATATACGCCTTTTGCATATAAATACGATTCAATCGATGATTCCGTTTTTTAGAGCGCTTCTGATATAAATTTCATTTTCCGCATGCAGGGCTTCCTCACTCATCCACTTATAACTCGCCGTGACAAGTTGACCCGCGGAGATGATTCGATAGGTAATAGTAAAGGTAGATGTTAATATAATTCATTCCCTGCGTGACTCCGTCACAGACGGTCGACAAGGGGTCAGTAAATAGGACGTGCTTTCCTTTAACTGTACCAATGAAAACCGTGTTAATAGAGTATTGACACTGAGTGAGGCTTGACATAAAGGTTTTCTGCGGGACCGTCAACACAACAAAATGGTGCTCAAGTTGATGTCGCTCCTGGTTGTACTGATAAACTTCGCTGAATGCAGTCTGCTGAGTGAGATCAACGTTACTTTTCCTGAACCCGGCGTTCTACAGGTGTATGAAAATAAGGAGGCAACGATTCACGTCACAATTGAAAGTGACCGTCAGCAAGTCGTTTTTATCCGATTTCAAGCAAAGGACGACACAATTGCAGTACTTAAAGGCAACACAAGCACGCCGGTTGAAACATGGAGCACTCAGGGTCAGAAAAACCTGAGTTTGACAGTAAAGGGAATATTCCTGGGCAGAACATCGATTCTAACCACCCTGTATGAAAACCAGTCCGTTTTTGAAAATGACGGGGAATCTTTAGAACTCCCTACCAACTCCATAATAGAAGTGCTTCGGGAACCAAACCCACTGTATACAGTTTTCCTTATTGTACTGTCCGTTGTAATTGGGATTAACATTTTCGGATTTGGCTTAATGCTAGATTTGGAAGTAGTCAAAGAAATATTTAAGAAGCCGATTGCTCCGATTGTCGGATTTGCCTGTCAGTACATTGGCATGCCTTTGGTAAGTTATCCATACTACAGTTAAACGTACATGGGAAATCCTTTTTTTTTTCATAATAACAAATTATGTCCATGTTGAAACAAACCAATTTTTGGGATATACAGTTGCCCAAACTCAAAAAAACTACATTGCTATTCCAAAAATAAAATAAAATCATACATTTTCTATTTCAGATTGCTTTTGCGTTCACCCAAATTCTGAACCTGCCTGATGCTCTGGCACTTGGTCTGTTTGTCGGTGGCTGCTGTCCGGGAGGAGGGTCCAGCAACATATGGTCACTGTTACTGGACGGTGACGTCAACCTGAGCATGTGTATGACCTTCATAAGTACCACTGCATCCATAGGTGAGTGACCGCGTGTTATAAGATTCGAAAGTTATTGTTCCTGCAGAATCAAATACTGCTTTAATTTGAGAGAAACAAAAATTTCTTCTACACGAGATTTAAGCCAAGCTGCTGTTTTATTTTTTTTTTCGGTTAACAATAGCTTGACAGCAGTGAAGTCTGCCCGGATACTGCTATGAAATTCGACCGATTATTTAAAAAATTCACAAGTCAAATTCTAGGATTATTTCTAAAAAACAGTATTAGCATACGTATTAATCACAGAACATCTGAATTTGAAAGTGAAAAACATATCAATTTCTTTACAGAATCATCTTTTACATATAAAAAATAAAATTAGCATTTGACTTTTGAAGGCGAAAAAGGCCCTAAAGCTTTATAGAAAAAAAAAATGGGACGCAAACTAAAATTAGCAAAATTAACGCAATTGACATGTCATTTTAATTAAATTATCAATTGTATTTGTTCCAGAAACTTTTCAGTCTAAATCATTTTCAAATTTTAATTTGAACTACTAAAATTAAATATACTTTGATATCTAAAGGGTTACAAAATTCACGAAAATTTTGACTATTATCTCCTTTTCCATTCACAGGTATGATGCCTCTGTGGCTGTTCACGCTGGGAATGATGTTCACTAGCACAGTCACAATTCCTTACGGCAACATTCTCGTCGCCATCGTCTCCCTACTTATACCCGGCTTCATAGGTATTCTCGTCAAAAAGTACGCTCCCAAGGTCGCAGGGGTTTTAACAAAGGCCGTGCGCCCTATAGCCGCCATTACAGTTCTGGTTGTGATTTTTTTGGGAATATACAACAACTTATATGTGTTCGTCCTGTTCGCCAAAGATTGGCGATATTTGGTTGGAGGAGCTTTGGTCCCTTTCACCGGTTTTGTTTTGAGCTGTGCAGCGTCATTTGGCGCCTGTTTGCCCTGGTACCGCGTCAAGACAATTATGTGTGAAACAGCAATCCAAAACACGGGCATTGCGATAGTGCTGCTCGGATTTTCACTACCGCAGCCTGATGCTGACTTGGCGACAGTCATGGCCATAGCGATGAGTCTGGTTGTCCCTCCCCCGCTTGTTATCATCTTAATAATCCGAACCATCTATTTGCGATGTTGTAAGAAGAATCAGGACAAAGCCAAGGATTCAAAAGAAAACGAGAATGAAAAGAAAGAACAGGGTGATATCAAACTGGAAACAAATGTTGAGAAGAAGTCCGACCTTGACAGAACGGAAAATGGTGTAATTTCACAAGTTTACGAAAAGGAAACGGAGTGAATCACTTACAATGAAATAGGGGTAAATTATTGGCATTAATTATTCCCGCGTTCATCTTCATTCACAATGTTTAATTTTCTTTCTAAACTTCGTTGGCATTTTAGACTACATTTTTAGTCGGCCCTATCAAAATACATTACCATCTTAAACCAATGTAGACTTCCATGTAGGATAATGTAATGTATTATGTATGATTACGGAACTCATGGATTTAGATTTTCTAACATGACATAAAAATCATTTCAGTTACGAATCTCGCTTATTTTTGAATAAATATTCGCCTATCGTGCCGTTAACTGGTTTGCCCTGTGTGCAATGCATCTTAGGCTTCGTTCACATGCAATGTCTATTTTCTATTTTCTATTTTCGGTATGTCTTATGATCACGGTCTGTGCACTGAATATCCCGCCGCGTAATTACTGGCAGCGCGAGCCAGTTACTTATAGTAACTTATAGTCAAATTTGTACTCGGATAAGTAAATCAATGCATGCAGTTGAGTCCCAATATTTATATATAGAAAGGAAGGGAAATGTTTGCTTCAAAATTTAGGCAATAAAAATTATATCCGAATTGAATATATCTTGCTTCAAACATGTAATCAGTATCAGTTGAAAATAATGTAAGTTTTAAAGGATAATAAACGACAACGTGAACATCAAAGATTTCCGATTTCCTTTTCACATATCCTCCTGCACCAACGTCCCATTCCAAGCAGCATTTTACTACGAAATTTCTTCTTACCTTTAGAGATTTAGAATTTTACACGCAGTTTAAATATAATAAATGCACTGAACCGTCCAACAGTGGAAATAATTGTAGTTATAAACTATTTCTAATTTATTTTAGTTGAAAAGTCAATATAGCGAGCGTCGTTCACTTCCAGACAACTGTCGAGGAATTCAAGGTCATTCTTTAATCGTATTTCACCTGCTTGTCATCCCCTAAAAGATCTTTCGAAGCTTGGATTCTTAATTTTCATTCTGTCCTAGCATTCGGCGCCATTTTGACGTCACACTGTCCATTCAGCTGTAAAACGACGTCATATGCCTGCTGAGTTATCAGGCCGAGTTATACGTCAAACAAACGTAGTAAATGTAACGTAATTCCAGAAGAAAGTTATCGATTTGGCCATTTGGCTAACGGATAACATTAGTGTTCATGCGGGCGAGAGTCAGTTTGATTTATAGCCTCGTGTAAATAATCATTTTTAAATTGTTGGTAAACAGGGCGTGACTGCCATGTATATAAATGTCGTCTGTACCCTCCATACAGATAAGTACACCGTTTATTTTAAAACACTAGGATGGGCCAAATGTGCATATCTGATAACTAATCTGAGATACAAAGGGTAAGATGCCGGTGTAACGTGACAGAGAGTCCCCCATGACAGAGAGTACGCTTCCCATTCATTTGTACAGGTTAGCCTAGCCTTAGATTTTGACGCACGTAGTTCAGGCTGACCCTAACCATTATAACTTTATGGAGGGCGGACTTTCTGTTACACGAACCCTCAGTTTCGTTACACCTGAACCAGGCTGGGTGAGACGCGCACCTTCATTATGAGATACTGCCACCGTTCAGTGAGTAGGCCTAATTAAGTCAGCAAAGCGTGAAGAGGTCAACTCAACTTGTCTTCTGGGCATAAGAGAAGTTCGTTTTCAGCTTACCTTGGATCTGAAGATACGAAACGGAAAACCCTATGACAATATTCAGAATCCTTGGAGAGAATCCATCACCATAATTTCTCCCACTATCGCGTTAAAGATAAGAAGCTAAAGAAGATTGCCTTAACGCCAACGTGCGTAGAACTAAATAGCTTATTTTATCTGAACCCACCTGTCTTATACACCACGCGCGGAACTCGCACCTTGGTTACACGATAGAAAATTTGAGCGTCGGTACGATTCAGTGTAGCGTTGTCGTTAAGCTAATAAGACCGAGTTCTGCTTATGTTGTGTGAGATTCGGCGGGACAACAAGTCCAAGAATCGTTCTCAAGCACTGACTCATTTTCTTATACATACACATGTATATTTATTATTTATTCAATATAATGCAATCAACGTTTCTGTCAGCGTAGAGAGAGCAAAGCATCACCGGGCATCTGAACGTCAGGGTGTATTAACATCGACATCTCCCATTAGGAAATTGCTTTCAAGTTAAAGACAGAGAACGAGCGTTTGACGGAGACAGGCTGGTTAACCGCTGGTTAACCGATAAATCCAGGCTGATGATTGTTCCATGAATGAGACATCTGGCAGTGGTAATTCAGTTATTGAGATCCATGAATGATCTTACAGTGAGACCCGTTGTATAAAAACCGAGAATCCGTGTTAATGAGAGGCTCTCCATTGGATCCATACCGGTTCGGGCTAGCGTGCCGCAAGCCAGTCAAAATTTAGGACGGGGCTTACCTGTACAAATCAATGTATCACGGGGGATCTCTCGTACACGACCAGCTGGACTAGTCTCATGCTATACTATTATATGTAAGTATACAGAACGAACGTCATTGGACTAATGCTTACAGGGTTGACTATAATCTACAGTACACACGACCCTCATAATACTATTATTCATCTAAAGGGACAAGTGCACTGGTTTCCGATAAATATATATTGTATACGCCGATGTGCTGTTTACGTGCCGATATTCACGCAAAGGCGGTCAATACGTGAGACAAATTTGACACCGACGACGCAACGTTTTCCCCAATTTATCAGATTTAAAGCCTGCAAATTTGTTCCGGCCAATAAACACCACAGGGCTTCGAGTGAACTGATCCTTGTCCTATGTAAGTACCAATATAGGCCAAGCTTGAGGTATCTGTGGGTTNGGATAATGTAATGTATTATGTATGATTACGGAACTCATGGATTTAGATTTTCTAACATGACATAAAAATCATTTCAGTTACGAATCTCACTTATTTTTGAACAAATATTCGCCTATCGTGCCGGCAACTGGTATGCGCTGTGTGAAATGCATCATCTTTTTATTTGCTTTGATATATATTGCAAACTTCATGTTTTTCTATTTATTTATGTTATGATATTTTTTTCAAATGTTTTTGTCAAACTTATATTAGATCTTAGGATAAGTAAATCAATGCATGCAGTTATGTCCCAATATCTATATATAGAAAGGAAGGGAAATGCTTGCTTCAAAATTTAGGCGATAAAAATTATATCCGAATTGAACATATCTTGCTTCAAACATGTAATCAGTATCAGTTGAAAAAACTGTAAGTTTTAAAGGATAATAAACGACAACGTGAACATCAAAGATTTCCGATTTCCTTTTCACATATCCTCCTGCACCAACGTCCCATTCCAAGCAGCATTTTACTACGAAATTTCTTCTTACCTTTAGACATTTAGAATTTTCACACGTAGTTTAAATGCAATAAATGCACTGAACCGTCCAACAGTGGAAATAATTGTAGTTATAAACTATTTCTAATTTATTTTAGTTTAAAAGTCAATATAGCGAGCGTCGTTCACTTCCAGACAACTGTCGAGGAATTCAAGGTCATTCTTTAATCGTATTTCACCTGCTCGTCATCCCCTAAAAGACCTTTCGAAGCTTGGATTCTTAATTTTCATTCTGTCCAAGCATTCGGCGCCATTTTGACGTCACACTGTCCATTCAGCTGTAAAACGACGTCATATGCCTGCTGAGTTATCAGGCCGAGTTATACGTCAAACAAACGTAGTAAATGTTACGTAATTCCAGAAGAAAGTTATCGAATTTGGCCATTTGGCTAATGGATAACATTAGTGTTCATGCGGGAGTCAGTTTGATTTATAGCTCCGTTTGAATAATCATTTTTAAACTGTTGGTAAACAGGGCGTGACTGCCATGTATATAAATGTCGTCTGTATCCTCCATACAGATAAGTACACCGTTTATTTTAAAACACTAGGATGGGCCAAATGTGCTTATCTGATAACTAATCTGAGATACAAGGGGTAAGATGCCGGTGTAACGTGACAGAGAGTCCCCCATGACAGAGAGTGCGCTTCCCATTCATTTGTACAGGTTAGCCTAGCCTTAGATTTTGACGCACCTAAGTCAGGCTGACCCTAACCATTATAACTATATGGAGGGCGGACTTTCTGTTACACGAACCCTCAGTTTCGTTATACCTGAACCAGGCTGGGTGAGACGAGCACCTTCATTATGAGATACTGCCACCGTTCAGTGAGTACTGCCACCGTTCAACAAAGCGTGAAGAGGTCAACTCAACTTGTCTTCTGGGCATAAGAGAAGTTCGTTTTCAGCTTACCCTGGATCTGAAGACACGAAACGGAAAACCCTATGACAATATTCAGAATCCTTGGAGAGAATCCATCACCATAATTTCTCCCACTATCGTGTAAAAGATAAGACGCTAAAGAAGATTGCCTTAACGCCAACGTGCGTAGAACTAAATAGCTTAATTTATCTGAACCCACCTGTCTTATACACCACGCGCGGAACTCGCACCTTGGTTACACGATAGGAAATTTGAGCGTCAGAACGATTCAGTGTAGCGTTGTCGTTAAGCTAATGAGACCGAGTTCTGCTTATGTTGTGTGAGATTCGGCGTGACAAGTACTCCAAGAATCGTTCTCAAGCACTGACTCATTTTCTTATACATACACATTTATATTTATTATTCATTCAATATAATGCAATCAACGTTTCTGCTAGAGAGATAAAATCATCACCGGGCATCTGAACGTCAGGGTGTATTAACATCGACATCTCCCATTAGGAAATTGCTTTCAAGTTTAAGACAGAGAACGAGCGCTTAACGCAGACAGGATGGTTAACTGCCGGTTAACCGATAAATCCAGGCTGATGATTGTTCCATGAATGAGACATCTGGCAGTGGTAATTCAGTTATTGAGAGCCATGAATGATCTAAGAGTGAGACCGTTGTATAGAAACCGAGAGACCTTGTTCATGAGAGGCCCTCCACTGGATCCATACCGGTTCGGGCTAGCGTGACGCAAGCCAGTCAAAATTTAGGACGGGGCTTACCTGTACAAATCAATGTATCACGGGGGATCTCTCGTACACGACCAGCTGGGCTAGTCTCATGCTATACTATTATATGTAAGTATACAGAACGAACGTCATTGGACTAATGCTTACAGGGTTGACTATAATCTACACACGACCCTCATAATGCTATTATTCATCTAAAGGGACAAGTGCACTGGTTTCCGATAAATATATATTGTATACACCGATGTGCTGTTTACGTGCCGATATTCACGCAAAGGCGGTCAATACGTGAGACAAATTTGACACCAACGACGCAACGTTTTTCCTAATTTATCAGATTTAAAGCATACAAATTTGTTCCGGTCAGTAAACACCTTAGGGTTGTGAGTGAACTGATCCTTGTCCTATGTAAGTACCAATATAGGCCAAGCTTGAGGTATCTGTGGGGTTTTTTCGCAATTCCGCACGTACGCCGGACATAACTCGTGATCATTACATTAATAGATCTCAAGATCGACCGACCAACGTATCACCGACTTGGCTGCGCAGCAAAAGGTCTATTTCGAACCCAGCAGAATGGACCTGACAACGTTGAAGATTCTGTTGTTATTTCTGCTTCTTCTTCTGACTGCTGTGTTCGGTTTCCTGCCCCTGGGCCTGTTGCTTTACCTCGCAGACCCGAAGGACAGTGTTGGGGGTAAAACAAGGAAGTGGCTGTCACGACTGTCCTGTTTCGCGGGCGGAGTTTTCCTGGGTACGACTCTATTGCACTTACAACCCGAAGTACACGAAGCAATGGAATACGTGTTGAAAACCAAGAACATAAACACCGATTTTCCCGTTGCTGAATTTGTTATTGGATGTGGTTTCTTTCTTGTGATATTGTTAGATACTATCGTCATGAAGATAAAGTACAGAAGGCAAGGNTAGAACTAAATAGCTTAATTTATCTGAACCCACCTGTCTTATACACCACGCGCGGAACTCGCACCTTGGTTACACGATAGGAAATTTGAGCGTCAGAACGATTCAGTGTAGCGTTGTCGTTAAGCTAATGAGACCGAGTTCTGCTTATGTTGTGTGAGATTCGGCGTGACAAGTACTCCAAGAATCGTTCTCAAGCACTGACTCATTTTCTTATACATACACATTTATATTTATTATTCATTCAATATAATGCAATCAACGTTTCTGCTAGAGAGATAAAATCATCACCGGGCATCTGAACGTCAGGGTGTATTAACATCGACATCTCCCATTAGGAAATTGCTTTCAAGTTTAAGACAGAGAACGAGCGCTTAACGCAGACAGGATGGTTAACTGCCGGTTAACCGATAAATCCAGGCTGATGATTGTTCCATGAATGAGACATCTGGCAGTGGTAATTCAGTTATTGAGAGCCATGAATGATCTAAGAGTGAGACCGTTGTATAGAAACCGAGAGACCTTGTTCATGAGAGGCCCTCCACTGGATCCATACCGGTTCGGGCTAGCGTGACGCAAGCCAGTCAAAATTTAGGACGGGGCTTACCTGTACAAATCAATGTATCACGGGGGATCTCTCGTACACGACCAGCTGGGCTAGTCTCATGCTATACTATTATATGTAAGTATACAGAACGAACGTCATTGGACTAATGCTTACAGGGTTGACTATAATCTACACACGACCCTCATAATGCTATTATTCATCTAAAGGGACAAGTGCACTGGTTTCCGATAAATATATATTGTATACACCGATGTGCTGTTTACGTGCCGATATTCACGCAAAGGCGGTCAATACGTGAGACAAATTTGACACCAACGACGCAACGTTTTTCCTAATTTATCAGATTTAAAGCATACAAATTTGTTCCGGTCAGTAAACACCTTAGGGTTGTGAGTGAACTGATCCTTGTCCTATGTAAGTACCAATATAGGCCAAGCTTGAGGTATCTGTGGGGTTTTTTCGCAATTCCGCACGTACGCCGGACATAACTCGTGATCATTACATTAATAGATCTCAAGATCGACCGACCAACGTATCACCGACTTGGCTGCGCAGCAAAAGGTCTATTTCGAACCCAGCAGAATGGACCTGACAACGTTGAAGATTCTGTTGTTATTTCTGCTTCTTCTTCTGACTGCTGTGTTCGGTTTCCTGCCCCTGGGCCTGTTGCTTTACCTCGCAGACCCGAAGGACAGTGTTGGGGGTAAAACAAGGAAGTGGCTGTCACGACTGTCCTGTTTCGCGGGCGGAGTTTTCCTGGGTACGACTCTATTGCACTTACAACCCGAAGTACACGAAGCAATGGAATACGTGTTGAAAACCAAGAACATAAACACCGATTTTCCCGTTGCTGAATTTGTTATTGGATGTGGTTTCTTTCTTGTGATATTGTTAGATACTATCGTCATGAAGATAAAGTACAGAAGGCAAGGGTATGACTTATTGACAAACATGAGGTCTTTAGAGGATAGACTGCCTCTTCAACGTAGTTTTAACGATAATAACATACAAACAGAGAACTCTAGTGGATATAAAAAACATATGCAGAGATCAAAGAGTTGCGAGACTTTTGTCTTTAATAGGGTGGATGACTTAAACAGTCTAGAAACTTCATTTTCTTCATATAAAACAACCGATTCTGACGCTGAGGGGGATAGAAAAAACTTGGAACATTGTCAAATTGAATTTCGTGACGCAGAGACGCCTGCTAGTCAAGCAGAAGAGCACCACCCTATTGCTAACTCGATATCTGTAAGTCAACTCGATTCTCAACAAAAACTTCGCTCTATATTACTCTTAGTAGCCGTTTCCTTCCACAGCATATTTGGAGGGCTGGCCCTTGGATTAACGAAAAGTAAACTGGCTCTGTGGACTTTATTTATTGCAATAAGTGTACACAAGAGCGTCATTGTTTTTACGATAGGATTACAACTTTTTCAAACGCAGACAGTAAAGCTTGCGATGGTATCTGTGGCAATATTTTCTCTTATTAGTCCAATCGGCGTTGCCATAGGAACGTTTGTTTCAGAAACCAAATCACAGGATGTGATGACGACAGCGCTGGTTAGCTCAATACTACAAGGTCTAGCAACAGGAACATTTCTTTACGTCACGTTTTTGGAAATATTACAGAAAGAACTGAGGCATGGGCACAGTGTCACTAAAATATTTTGTATTCTAGTAGGGTTTTCCTGTATGGCAGGGTTATCTTATTTAGAAGGAGCGTAAAGGCTTCTACAGAAAGAGCTATCTTGCCGTGCTCAAAACTCCATCTAATCCCCTAAAGAGGTTAAAGACTAATTAATATTTATGAAAATTCATTGTGTTTTTATAGGCTCTTGATGCCCTTTACGGCAAGTATGTGCAACGTTCTGAAAGTTTTGACTAAGCTACCCCTGAAAAATTCCCAAGTAGAACCTAGTATAATTTGAAGTCATTAAAAAATATGCACAGATATCATCTGACAACTGCATATTCTTATCAAAAGGTCGACTTACAACAAACACGTCGCAGTGTCCCACTAAATTAAACTGATGATTTAGTGACCCAAATGACGCTATCAGAGATTGGGGGGCCACGGGGTTGATAGTGTTTTTTATACTGACTGGTGCAATTTTATCTGCAAGAAATCAATCCAAAGAAAATATATATTTCACTAGCACTTAGAATGCAATAAGTGCATAGATACGATATATATCTCAGGGACATTTACTTCCTCTGATCTATCTTAATTTTTTTGGGAGTATGTGGCGGATGGGGGCGATTAACGGTTTGAAGCGACCTTATTCCCACCTTTTGACTCGATCGTCTGCAACATTGCAACAGTTTGAAACTGGGATAAATACGTTCAAATCTGACCTAGAAGATATGTTAAGATAGGGTTTTATAAAATTAAAAGAAATGGTGAATTGAAGTAGACCATGGTACATTTTGCGCCACACACAATTCGCCCCTATGTCGTTTAAACTGATCAAAATAAAGAAATATTTTTAAGGACAAACATTATTTTCGAAACGATTTAGTAGTTGAATCATTGATGGTTCTGTTGGCTGGATACAATCCTTGGCGCCATACTAGTTTCATTATTTATAGAACTGAAGCGTGAGTCTGGATGCAGATCTTTCTTGAAAAATGTAGTTGCCAAATGCTTATACTATCAAACTTGTGTCAGAAGCGGAATGAAGGTATCAAGGTATTGCTCTGACGATATACAATATTTTACTAGTCTGATATATTTCATCACGATACTTTTTCCAATATTTGATAACTTTTTTGCACTTTTTCTTTCCTCTTCTTGATAATGACAAAAAAAGGAAAACCTCAATAAAGAGGCAATAATAAAAAATAATAATAATGATGAATAAACAAATTTGGGTTTAATTTCCTTGATTTTGCATCTACTTTATCAAGTTACGGGTGGTTTATATGATGCAAGGGATGGGTGCATGCAGTTTTACTAAGGCAAAATACTTTAGTAGTTAAACATTTTTCTAACATTACACGTTTTCCAACATTTGATAAACTTATTGTGATTGTCTCCTTTTTTGGATATAAAAAAGATTAAAGACAAAAAAGATGCATCCCCGAAAATGGATTAAAATTAGTGAAAGGATTTCACCCGAGTTTAAATTATTCTGTAGTTGCAAGTTGTTTGACCACTTTCGACCACTGCCATGAAAATTTCACGCTATTTGTAAATAAAGGATTAAAAAAATTATTTTAAAATTATATATTCAAAATTTATCTTAAATTTACAGAGTTAACGCAAAAACGCACAAATGACGAAAGATGCACTGAATTTCTTTGGGGGGGAAATGCATTTGGATGTACCGTTTTAAAAATTTTGGTGAGATGGCATCGGGCATACAGAGATGAGTACGTGCATCAAAAACGCTACCAAAATCAGTTTCGTTAAGTGTCACGGCAATAACTCAGACCTTTAGTGTAACCCCTGGTTCAGGGTGGAGTGGGAAGGAGGAGAGGGGGGGGCAGGCAGTGGAGGGGGTATCATCGCTTCGATCCTTAATGCCATTATTCATATGTGTGTCAAAACTGATTTACTCTTGTAACATAATTACAGTCCATTTTTTTTAATATAATTCATGTGTCCTAAACAAAGCCTAAGACCAAGGAAAGAAAATGAAAGCAATTTTATTGAGATTCATGCAAACTACACACAAATCAACTATTAGATACATACAATTTACAATAGGTGATTAAAATCAAATAAAATAGTATTATACAGTGATCAATAAATACAAATATGCACTAAATATCTGGTGTAAATATCAAAATATAAATCTTAAATCTCTAATAAAGAAATCTTTTACAGAAAGACGATAAATTGTGATACATTTATGCAATATATATTTTTTTTCTAGAATCAATAAAAACAATCAAAATGTTGCCAAAAGCTTTAATAAAGCTTATAAGAGCCTGATTATCACTCAGTGATTTAAGCAAAATATGAAGCATATTAAAATAATTAAAGCAACAAACAACTCTAAATCACCTGAGAAACTGATATTAATCTTAATTAATACTTCTGATGCACTGGTATCTTTCAAGAATACATTTTTGAGACATTACATCATATAATAAAACCAAAATTGATCAATTTACCCCATCCAAATAAAAATAAGGACACTGCTGACCTTAAAGCTGCATTGAAAATGTTTCTCAATTTCTTTCTTTGTGTAAATAAGTCAACTTTTAATATGTTGAAAAAGAAACACAGAGAAATATTCAAACAATTATAATATCTTAATTGATGCCACTGCATTCAACTTTTTTCAAGAGTCTTGAGTCATAATAAGAAGTAAATGTAACAAATTTAAACTTTAATACTGAAGAATTGATACATGATATCTATAACTATCTGACAAAAAAGTAAATATACAGTGTTTGCTTAAGCTCTTGAACAAGAATATATATGAAGATAGAATAATTGTCACAAAGCTACAAAATCTTGCCTATCCTGTTCTTATATTTGTACAGGACAGAGTCAGAAGGACGGAACAATAGTCAGAAAGCTATTATACAGCAATCAATAAGGATACTGCATAGTCTATACTTTGGCAAATACCTTGTGTTCATTGGTCTCTAAATTTATGTTGATTATTATATCAATGAATTTCAATGCTACATGGTAAACAAGATTTATTACACTGCAATGTAAAATTTCTTTTACAGTGAAGATAGCACATGCCTAATATCATGTGTGCATGTTGCGCTGTCTTACTAAATATCCTATTAAATAAATCACCAAACCAAACACAACAAATACCAAAAGAAAGTTCTAGTATACCCTTGTTTAAATGTGATACTAAATTGTAATCTGCATAGGTGGATACTGATAAATTTACCACTGTGACAATAGAGCCATTACAAAGAAATTGTCCATATCAGGATTAATATTGACATTCACCCTTCTCATCTTAATCAAAAATATATATTGTGTGGTATATAACAAGCTGTTAATTTTCAAAGAAGACAAGAAATCTTCAGTCCTTAAAATGTATGAAAATACTGCTCCAAAGTCTAATCTTCAAAGTCTTCACAATTTATGCAAAAAATCATTCCTCTCTATNAACTCTAAATCACCTGAGAAACTGATATTAATCTTAATTAATACTTCTGATGCACTGGTATCTTTCAAGAATACATTTTTGAGACATTACATCATATAATAAAACCAAAATTGATCAATTTACCCCATCCAAATAAAAATAAGGACACTGCTGACCTTAAAGCTGCATTGAAAATGTTTCTCAATTTCTTTCTTTGTGTAAATAAGTCAACTTTTAATATGTTGAAAAAGAAACACAGAGAAATATTCAAACAATTATAATATCTTAATTGATGCCACTGCATTCAACTTTTTTCAAGAGTCTTGAGTCATAATAAGAAGTAAATGTAACAAATTTAAACTTTAATACTGAAGAATTGATACATGATATCTATAACTATCTGACAAAAAAGTAAATATACAGTGTTTGCTTAAGCTCTTGAACAAGAATATATATGAAGATAGAATAATTGTCACAAAGCTACAAAATCTTGCCTATCCTGTTCTTATATTTGTACAGGACAGAGTCAGAAGGACGGAACAATAGTCAGAAAGCTATTATACAGCAATCAATAAGGATACTGCATAGTCTATACTTTGGCAAATACCTTGTGTTCATTGGTCTCTAAATTTATGTTGATTATTATATCAATGAATTTCAATGCTACATGGTAAACAAGATTTATTACACTGCAATGTAAAATTTCTTTTACAGTGAAGATAGCACATGCCTAATATCATGTGTGCATGTTGCGCTGTCTTACTAAATATCCTATTAAATAAATCACCAAACCAAACACAACAAATACCAAAAGAAAGTTCTAGTATACCCTTGTTTAAATGTGATACTAAATTGTAATCTGCATAGGTGGATACTGATAAATTTACCACTGTGACAATAGAGCCATTACAAAGAAATTGTCCATATCAGGATTAATATTGACATTCACCCTTCTCATCTTAATCAAAAATATATATTGTGTGGTATATAACAAGCTGTTAATTTTCAAAGAAGACAAGAAATCTTCAGTCCTTAAAATGTATGAAAATACTGCTCCAAAGTCTAATCTTCAAAGTCTTCACAATTTATGCAAAAAATCATTCCTCTCTATTGTCCACATTGATTTGCAGTCTTTCTATTTCATCAAAATAGTGTTCCAAAAAACCACAACCTTACACCAAAAACTTCAAAATTCTTCAAAAGACGTCTTCCAAATTTTCCTTATTCATCATCTGGTAATTTTTAGGCTATGCACACAGCACACAATTAGTAGTTGGAGAGGCTAGTAGAAGCTGTGTATGGGCGTGGGGAACTGGAGCGGAGAGAGCTACGACTACTGGGACGGAAACCTGCAGCACATAAAAAAAGATGGAGATATAAACCCCCAACGGCACTGGATTATTTCTAGGGGTATTATCAATGTAAGAAAAGTCACACAATTCTAGATTCTGACCTTATCACATCCACAGGTTCAAAAACAATAGCAAAGCTCCATTAATTGCAATTTTAAGTCACTTGAGGTATTATAAAACATTTAGAAGCTTAAATTTCACACAGCAACTTGTCTTCAGTGCCTAATATTCATAACATTACACAAAAACTGTCTATTGTGTTAAAATAAATATATATATATGCATAAAAAAAACAGTTATGACTAGTGCAAACAGCCACACAACAAAGGCAAATCTAACCACTGGTGCTCTGAAACACAAAAGGATTAAAGGATTCACATAACATAAGTAATTTATTGATAAACAAACAGTGAAGGTGCTGGTGACAGGTGACAGGTGACCAAGGTGACATACTTTTGACATCAATAGGCTAGCAAGCATAATATCTTCTACCTAAAACTAGAAACACATGTGAAAGACATGGTTAGTATACACAGATAGACAAACAACTACTTTTCCACTCCTAGAAATTGCTAAGCACTGTTATTTTTGTGACAGCTTAAAGCTGGTTCATTTTTCATTCACTGTAATTTTGGATATTAATTTTTTATAGAATCTATGATAGTGTAAGTGAAAAATTATACTTAGTCACGCAAAGCTGCAAGACACATCAAAATTTCATCAACTTGATTGTGTTGTCTTATCCATGTTAAGATTTGATACAGAATTAAAAAAGAAAAAAATTAGAAAAAAGTTTTTGATTTTTTTTCTATATTGCTCTACATTACTAGTCCCTACAAGTGATGTCATATGTAATGTCGGCTCGAATGACTCCCTATTTGACACCACATGAGAATTTCACTGACATACATATTTCAGATTAAACCAAAATGTCACAAAACCAGTGTTATGTTTCCATAAGAAGTTTGACAATATTCGCATAATTGAAAACACAGATATTGCTCCGGCAGTCATCATACTGAATATTTCAACATAAATTCTCTAGTCCAAAACAATCATCTCTATGAAATGTAATAAAAATCAGCTCCAAGAGAAAACGTATTCATCTATTCCCCATCTTTTAAAAAGATTATTATATCTCTTTTCTTTTAGAACTTTAGACTTAATAAGCATCTGACACATGAGATGGAGCTATAGATGAGGTATAGTGTCTTGTTGAGCCATGGCTGGACCCTGGGCGCGCTGAAACACACAATACAAACACATCATGTCAGAAAGCACTTCAATTCTCAACTAGAAGCTGAAAGTATGATATAATTTGAGTAGTGTAGTCAATATTAATCTTTCAAATATTGATATTATGGAATGATATGTGTCATTTGTCATGTATAATTTATACACAAGGATTAATCCACTCATGTCCATGTCCCTGAAACTGAAATGGATGTAAGATATAGATTCAGACTAATTTTAGCATCAGTGGATATACTGCATGCTTTAAGAATTTGTGATGAGACAAATATTGTGATGGGTATTAAAGCAGTCCAATAATCAGCAAGGCAGAATCCAGGCAAGATGAAATAATTGAAATTGATTTAACAATATGTAGAAATTTCCTTACAGCAGTCTGTGACTTAAGCCACTAGTCTGGGGTAATTAATTTGTGGATTTAGGGTGAAACTAATTGGAAAAAAAAAAAAATAATAATAACAAAACAAGTTTTTTGCAAAGATACTAGTCTCATTGGACTAGCACACATTTTTTGCAGTTGTTTTAGGTTATCTTTTTGATGGACTTCCACATATATGATAGTTATCACCTCAGTCCTATCAGTCTGAAACCAATGAGCTGAAAAGTGTAAGTAAAACCACTAGACTAAATGAAATCTGGCCAGTTACTGACCTGAAGGGCTGGACCGTCCACTGAAAGAGGCACTTAGTGAGGAGTTGAGATCCATGGGACTTCCAATTCTTCTAGGACTGGGGGAGCGGCTGCGAGCTCTTGAGGGGCTGTAGGAGCGAGTAGGGCTCATGGAACGTGTGGGGCTTCTGCTGCGCCTTGGTGAACCCTGGGATATTTAAACATATGGAGTTGAAATTGGATCCTACTGTGATTTCGTAAACTTAAGTCTTGATATTCAAGATGAAAAATAATCTTAAACTTAAGGAAGTTAAGGTCCCTGCCCCCACTCCCACCTTGTAATTTTCTTAAAATTCATAACACTACATGTTGTCACTTTAAAATTACCACCTTAATTTAATTTCAAAATGAAAATAAAACAAACACAGCAGATTCTTGTTCATTTGAATTTGTATGGTAATTTTTTTAAAATCAAAATCAAGCATATAATTCTTTTCCCTCTTTAAATGACACAGAGGTAAGAAAAATCAAAGATCCCAGAACATCTAAAAATCTCCATTATAGAATAAGTAAAACAGTTACATGTGAATAAAATGCTGATAAAGATGACAGTAATTTCAATCAGAAGGCAAAAATACAAACTAAATGGGTACTGCTTAGTGGATGCTACAAAAGAACAATATCCACGAATAGATTTTGCAAGATTGCCCTGATGGAGCCATCACAAATGGGGAAATTTCTGAAATGATTACCATATTTTTCGGGCAATAACAGAAGGGTGGGATCATGTACTAGTACAGTGATGCAGAAGAGAGAAAGGCCCTACCAGTGATGCTCCTCTTCTGGTGCAAGCCTCTCCCTTCACGATGACCTTGGTGCCCTGTTGCAGACATGCCCAGATGTGGTGGTTTACCAGCGGAGCTGTGTACTCGGAGTCGTAACTGCGACGATACCTGGAGAAGAATGGAAATGAGGGCTGAAACATATTCATGTCTTACTATGCCATTTGTACATAGGAATATTGTTTTATAGCTGCTAAAAAAGTCCATACAACTCCTACCCATGTTTACCCTTTTCTTTAAAAAAATTTAAAAGATTTATTAAATAAATAACATTTATTTGAGAACAAAACACCCAATCAAACTCATATTAAGTAAAAGCAATTATTTATGAACATTTAATAACTTTTGGCAAGGTTTTCTTTTCGTTGCATGTAACAATCAAACCTTATATTTTTTCACATAATGAACATTTAAAACTGAAAAGTCATAACAACTGTCTTGTTGTCATCAAAGAGTTCAGCATCAGAAGAGACAGCGATGGCAAATTTTTCTTTTCAATGCATATAACAAGGGTGAATTACTTAACATCAAACCTTTAATTTTTTCACATTTCAAACATTTAAAACTGATGTCATAACAACTTACTTGTAGTCATCAAAAAGTTCAGCGTCAGAGGAGACAGCAATGTCCAGTGGGTGTGCCAGAGCGCTCATCTGCCAGGCCAGCTTGCACGCTTCACGGATGAACGTGCCGATAATATTGTAGGAAATATCGGCTGGCAGGAAGATTTTGATGTTACGGTTCAAAGCCCTCACAACATCCTGCAAGAGATATAATCTGTGAATATGCTGTACACTCAGAATTCAAACGGAGGTTATATGAAAATTTTGAAATTTTTTCTGAAGAAAAGTCATTGCAATTATTTGTTGAGATAGAAATACATTAAAAATCATAAACATATTAACAACAATCATTCATCAAATAGGCAAATTAGGACTTAAACAACTGTTTGTCGACTAGACAAATTTGTAATAATTATACATATGACATGTTTAAATCAAAAACAACTGAATTCAGATGCTAGAAATAATACTTACAGCCTGTAGGCTTGGGAGGTCATAGAGATCAGTGTTTCTGTTGATGTAATCTTGTACAGCCTCTTCTAGAGTATCAGGACCAACATGGGTGGCAGCCAGGTTAGAACGGACCTTCAGCTTGAACTGGCGGAAAGCCAGTTTGGCACTAGCGAAGGCTTCCTGTGAAATGGAGGAAAATAGAATAGTCTTTAAATAGTGTTAAGCTGCCTGGTTTTTATATAAGGGAGAGAAGCACTGTACCTTTGTATGCCTTTATTTCTGAAACTTAAATTTGATTTAAAAAATCAACAAATTGGTGTCTCTCTAGCTTATCCTTTTCTTCATGTTTTGTTTTTCTCATAAACTTATTTGTTAAGATAATATTTTGATTACACTTATCTCATCTATTGTTAGTCTAGAAGAAGTGCAAAATAATTCATACCACCAAAGCAGCAAACACAATTCGCTGGTTGTTCTCGTGGTCATCTGAGTAACGTCGTAAGATATCCATTGCGTCCAGGCGATCCTGTGCAAACATGTCGTTGAAACGCGTAATCAGGTTCTGCTGTCGCACACGCTGTGTGACATCATCAGGAGACAGAGGTGAGCTTACGCGTGGCAGTGAGCGGTAAGTATCAGACATGTCGCTGCAAATGGATAAATACTAATTTAAAGTGAAATTGAAATACATAACCACTGACAATGTAAATGTAAGTTTACTGTGAAAGTATCCCAACATATTTAACAACATATTAAACAAATTACTCAGTTTATTATTACATTTCTGACAAAGAGCTATTTCAAATATTTCATATTCTTAGTCAATTTTTCTTTTTAAATAAGAATGGATATCAATATCACTAAGACACATCAAGTTTTTAGATGATTTCAAGACAGATAGGTGACAAAGCAAATAACAAGCAGGGAAGGGGTGTGAAGGGCATGCAATAGTGGGTTATTTTCAATACAAACACCTAAACTCTTGCTCAGCAAACATAACATCTTGAGGGACTTACATGTCACAGTATTCAGAACTCCACATCAAAAAGTTGTATTTCAAGCATTTTCTAATTCCATTACAAAGTAAGCTATTTACGCTTTCTCTATAGATTCCTAGGTGACATTTTTTCGTGCTCATCAACATGTTTATTTAAATTAATAAATTCATCAAAATTTCTCAAAGAATTAACAAGTTCATATCAAATACTTTTATATACCTTCGAACAGCACATTTTGTTCCCATGAAAATTAGGAGTGAATCAAATTCTACTTTACAATAAATTAAATTTTTTTTTCATTATATGCACTGCACAAAAGACTTCTTACTCAAACCAAAAATTTTGACAACTCTACATCCTGCACCAAAAAACCTCCAAAGCCATGCATAATACCCCAATGCCAACACCATGCATTTTCAGCAGTAAAAATACCACATAAAAACTTCCCCGTCACCAAACCCCAAATCAGACTTACATTCCAGGTCTACCACCTGCAAGAATCAGTTCATTCCTGAGACGTCGAATCTCAGCATCTTTGCTTTCAATTACACCTCTCAAACGTGAGAGTTCAACTTGGTTATCCCGGTACCTATGTTAGTATGGAGTGAAAGAGGGAGAGAGAGCAGGCAACAGAAAATTAGTAATGATTAAGCTATAATGTACAAATAATTATCAAAGTCTACATAAAATAATGGTCTAAGCTAAGGCATGCTGTCCTGATGTCTCTCCAGCACAGTGGTCTTTGCTTCTCTAACACAATGGTGCTAGGGAGCATGCATGCATTTACAGACATCTACAAAATTTATAACAAAATCTACAAAATCTCATAAAAAAACAGCTACACATATATATCAAGAAATCAAAGCAATATACAACAAATTGTGGTCTCCTGGAGATTTCTAGTTGTATTGTGCTCAAATTTCTTGCAAACAAATAACACATGGCTACAAAATGATGTGTGCACTATATAATTCTAGTCTACTGACAGCTGAAAGAAATGGAAAGAAAAAATGAAGTATTAATTGCTACGATAAAGCAGCCATTTTGATTATGTGCCAAAGCAGATTAGTGCAGAAAATGACCTAAAAAAGTATTTGGTCATAGGTGTGATGCAAGCTGCTGGGTAACATTGGGCAGCAGGGAAAGAAGACTGGGCAGGGATTTTATGATCAGTGATATTAACCTTTGGGGAATTAATTTCTTTTCATTTGCTTCCAAAGATTGAAAGTAAGAATAGAATTTTTGATTATATTTTTCCAAGAAAACCCGATCAATTTGAATCATGATTTCTTCTATTAAGTATAGTTTATAGTTGTGCTTTAAATAGCATTTGTAAACCTTCCCCTTGATGTATAACTGACCTCTTTTAAAATTCAGGCATCTCAATTTTGTACATGCCTGAATGTCAAGGTGATTGATAAGTTAGTAAAGTTTCAGTGTGCCAGGTTGAGTTAATACTGTATACACAGGGCCCATAGCCTTAACTCTTACCCATTGACAATGCTTTGGGTAGAAGAGTGTGTGTGTTGATAGAGTGGAACATGGCTTCTGTGTTTGAGAACAGAGTTCCTTTCGCCAGTAAGAATGGCGATCTCTTCACGCAGGATTCGAAGTTGGCGTTCGTAATCATCTAGGAGGCCACTTTTCTCACGAAGGTTGCGGTTTTCGTCCTCAGCCAGGGCTAGCCTACATTCACACATCAATATTTTACATTCATATGCCTAAATTTTCATTTCACAAATGCCTGAAATAATTGTTACTGTTGACTGAATTTCATGCCAAATCTAATTAATGGAAAGCAGAATTTACCATATTTAATGATTTAGCATGTAGAATTATCTGAAAGAAAAATAATGCTCTCTGGAAATTTAATCAAAATTCAATCAAATTAAAATCAACATATTAAGTTAAAATCATTTTATCTGTATTTTAGCAGCTGTAAATGGAAGTACATTAATGTTGCATAACAAACTCCAACAAATGAATTAGAAAGTGAACAACATGAGTATCTAAGTCTATTAGGATATGTTTCAGCATGACTGTCAATGGAATTCTTATTTAATAATCTTAAATTTTTGGACCTTCGTTCATTTTGTGAAGTTGCATTACATATATATTATCTAAAAATATTTGACAATTCCATAACATGTTTATGCCATTATATTTGTAAGACATCATAAAAGACATATAATCCTAATAGAGAAATATAATACACTTAAAAAAATGCAGACAATCAAAACTAATCCAATTATTATTTTGTGTTCAAAGTTGCAATTATATAATGTGTGTTTGTGTTTACTTACTTGTTCCTCAGGTCTCTGATCTCTGACTCATTGAACATCTTCTCACTGGTGGATTCACGCTTGGTGCGGTCAAGTTCATCCTGGGCCTCAGCAAGACTTGATAAAAGAGGAAAAGACAAACAATTAATAGGCTAAAAACATCATGCTCCAATGCTACATAAAGTTACAAATACTGGAGCACTGACTTGATCAGTGACCTACATTAAAGCTCTGACATAAATAATTATATTAATTTATGATTATCTATATAACCATAAATCATTTATGATCTTGATTTTCTCAATTAAAACAATCTTGATTGTTTCAATATACTAGTATTCACATATATGTTTTCAATGGAAACAGATTACTGAAAATTGACAGCTAGAATGGCATAGAACAATAACCTTTTCAACCTCATTTGAACCCTACAGTACAGTAAATCAGAGGACCTGCCAATTACTGTGCAATTTATATGATTCTGTTCCATGTCATTTCAAAGAAACAATGATTAAACATACATGGCAAAATGGCCAAAGTACATTGCTTACTTCTGTGCCACGGTACAGAGGTCCAAAGAGCATTAATACAACCAAGCAGCAATAGCATATTTTATTAAAAGTCACTTAAAATTCCCTAGACAAATCTTGATTTATATACGTATGTTTTGCAGATGAAGTGAAGAATGTATTTTTTCTTTTTTTTTTTTGGGGGGGGGGGGGGATTGGGTTGGGGGAGTGATTGTAAGAATCAACAAACTGCTGGATTTCTCAATTTGACATTGCTTACAACCAACAGAAAATCATATTCATTCAGAACAAAATTTCGAAAAATTCAGAGATAAATACATGCTCTTAAAACATTCTTAAAGGACATTTGTAGCCCCCCAAAAAACTACTTAAGACTAAAACTTACTCAGTTCTAAGGTTATCATTCTCAATGTTGGTCACCCTCAGATTATCCTCCAGGTCAACAATGGATCGTTCATACTGGTCTTGGAGCTCGTTAATTTCACGATCCTTGGACGCAGCCTCGGCCAGAACACTGAGACTAGTATCTGCTGTCACGCTGCCCCCAGAGGCAAAAAAGCTCTGTCCAAGCCATGGAAGAAGACGGGATTTGATGGCACCGGCACCGCCATACATTCCACCTAAGACAATGAATTAAGGAGTAATTAGTAAAAATTAATTAGTCTCAAATACCCAACATTTCTCAAAATCTATAATTTTTCGTTACTCACTTAAACAGACAGTTTAACATGAACCCAAATCCTTTTTCATACATTTCAGGTTTGACTGAAGCCCAGTAGATATCAATACCTCTGTTAATGGTTTTATTTCACTGCAGGTGCATATGGATTCAGCAGGCAAGTTGGCAGCACTCAAAGAAATCTTAATATGGACTATTGTAATAAACTACAAATTTATGGAATTTATCTAAGAAAAAAAAAGCTCTTCACGAGGAGTGTCTATCCCAGAAAGGTTTAAAATGTTTCACCTTCAGATGCACAGAGACTGAGCAGTTTGAAAATCTGCCCCTGGACCTTGGCATTGAGTTCTATGATCTCGCAGCACCGGGCAACATTTTGGTCACAGGAGTTCACCTAAAATTAATAATAATAATAATAATAATAATAATAATACCTGCTGAAATAATTTAATCAAATAAATCAATTGTGCACATTGCTGATTGCACGACACATTCAGTCAAGTTGTAGCACACACTGTCTTAATTTCCATTGGTTCAAATCACAACTGAATCATAACTGGATACCAGTAATTAGCTTATAGAAAAATCAATGTAGTGGAGAATTTCCATTTAATACAACATGGTCTTGGTAGTTAATAACCACATCAATAAATTCCCGCATTGCACTGAAAAGCTTTCTCTTAATCAAATATTAAAGAAAAATACACAACTATTACAATGCCATTCACGCAAGTGGCATAGAATTCAATATATGACTGATAAGCCCTTCACTTGTCATTTTATGCTTTAAATGGTGTCATTTTTGTATCAAGGGCTACTTACACACAGAACATTATTAATTTCCTGTTGTCTTATATTGTGCTTGTTGATTTCTACTCATATCAAACATTTGTTAAACTCTAGTGTGAATAAATTTTTAAAATGCTGATCATACAAGCTGCCTGTTTAAATCTGACTAAATAAGGTCTTAATTCCCAGGTTTATTACCTGTGTTTTAAATGGTACCATTTTTGCCTTTACACACACAACTTATTCATTGCAGCATTGTATTTTGATTTCTTTTATTCATACTAAACATTTTAATGATCAACATATGAGCCACCTGCAGAGTTCTGACTGAAGAAAAGTCTTAATCCAGAGGTTTATTGCCTTATTATCACCTGTCACTCCCGACAGGTAGCAACATTTAGTGATTTAGTTTACAAATGAGATTACGAATTCAAAACAGGCTTACATTTCCTGCTTACTGCTGGTTCTCATTAATGTCATTTTGCTTGTAACTGGATTGATGCCAAAGTTGAATGCTTTCTTCATAAGGGATGAAAAAAATGCAGTTCATGCTGCTTATTTCCATCTGATACAAAATGCTTTCAACATTTATAAATATTGTGAACAAATGAATGAGTCTTAATTTTTTAAAAAGTTCTCTTCCATATGTAATAGACCACAGTCTCTAAATATCCTAAATGTCATGATATTATTAACTAACTTATTGTCCCCTTTTTTATCTATGCAACTTTAAACCGATGGTTTTTGGATAAAGTTTTATATATACACTCCTAAAAAGGTATCAACCATGAAACTAATACCAGGAAAACTATGTACAATCCTTTGCAACCGCATCAACAGGAGTAACAAGAAAATGTGTACATACTTTGAAGTCTCAATGTTGAATTTGGGGTAAAAGAGGGCACAAGATCAGTCTGTTTAAACACTTATCTTGATAACTACTGCATTTGTGAGGTGTTTACATATGATAATAAAATGTTGTGCGTTTGAAATCTTACACTTCGACAGAATGACAGTTAAAACTCATGTAACTAACCTCTAACGACTTTCATACAAAAAGGTGAAAAAGAAAAATGTGTCCACAGTGGAATGATGCCATGGGCATTCCATGAATTTGTGGCAACTTTATAGAACTATGCTTAAATGATCAAATGAATCCAGGTGTTTTCATTATTATGATAAAGGAATATTATTATTCTCAAATAACACATAATTGCTGCATGGTCCAAATGGACTATGCATAAAATGCTTTCAGCTCTACTTGTAGAAAAACCAGAAAGCACTTTGATCCGATGGTCCAGTTGTGTTTCCAAGTAACCAATGGGGCTTAGGAAACAAACAAATTTAAATCCCTAACGTTGTGACATTTTGACATTTGTAAGTGTTTTTGCAAGTGCTGGAGAGGTTAATTCTGTTTGCAGGAACCATTTATATTCAAGTCCAGTCAACAGCTGATGAAATTTATGATTTTGGAGTAATAAATGTAAATATCCACCACATTAAAAACATGACCGCTTTCTACTCTGAAATATACTTAATACAGAATTTAGTCCTTTTTAAAAGGACGGGCTTATTGTAGCATGTTTATGCAATATAACTATAGATCCCCATGTCAATAAACCAATTCAGTGCTCAACTAATTGGTAACCATTTGTGTTTTCTTAACTAAGAAGATGGATGCTACACAGAAATAAGAGACTGTTATTACTAACAAAATCAATTTCTAACTCTGTGTTTTCTTTTAGCCATTTTCATATCCACACCGCAGCATAAAAGAAAGTGTCCACCATAAAGTTTGTGGTTATCTAATAGAAAAGGCATATGAATCAATGTGCCAATGTTTCATATCAGTGAGGTTTTACCTCTTTATCTTACTGGAAAAGTAAGCCAATGCTTGCCTAAACTTGGAAAAACATATATTGATCACTGCAAAGTTATGCATATAGTTTGTTCCATAGCTTAAACAGACCGGAAAAATATAAATATTCCTCATTGAAAGAGTAAGGTCACATCACAAAGACCCCATTTATAATTTGTTGACAGGTGCAGTATATTGTTTGTACTGCATATCACATGAATGGAATGCAGCCACCAGCTTTTGTGGGGGCATTAAGGGTACTGTTAACAAAATTCAAAGCTTGCATTTGTGTAAGATAAATATCTTCCACTCTCAGTACCTCATAGATTTCTACCTATCCTCAACCATACTCATCTCCCAAAAGGAGGAAATTATAAATTAAGAAAAGAATAAGTCAACATCTCTTTTCTTTTTCATTTTTAGCAGAAAATTGCAAATGTTTGCAGACTGCAGCTTTGATCTTTTCCAACGTGGGAATTATTTTGTCTTTAGTTACTGTATGTCACTAACAATAAAGATGACAAAACTGGCAAACATCCAGAGCATGACTTACAGAATCAAAATGACCAGCTAAAATCAATGATGAAACAAAAGACTCCCTTATTTTGCAAATCTGTAAAATTGATTTCTTAGATGATAAACCTGTTAATTGACTTGTTTCAGGCTGATTAAGCCTTTGTCCCTAGTTACAAATCATAACGTACAACCACGGCTTCCAACTTAACTGCATGACATTTTTCCTGCAATTTCTAGTGACAGGTTTTTAATGAGATCCTTTGCTAAGGCATATATCTTCAAATTAAACAGCTTGAAATTCATTGTAGGATTAAAGTTACTAACATTTCTAGTTTTATTTGATTATATCAGTCAAAGTCATATATGTTTATTCACCTGTATTTAACTAAAAAAACAAGCTGTATAAGATAAGACAATTTATGCCACTGTATTCTTTTGCTAATTGTAATTGTTTAATCTTCATATTTTCTGGATATAGAAACCGTATTAATTATTTCACTTCACCTGCTTATTCTACACAGCTACACTGTATTTGCATCATCACCACTTAAAATCCCTATCAGGTAAGTTGGTTCGCAACACCAGGTTTATTCACTTCAAACTCTGAAGATGGCAAGCCACAGTTTGCAGGAAAGGCATTAATTCATAATACATCTACAAATATAGCTTTAGTACAGGGTAGCAGCGCTAGCACTTGCAAAAAAAAAAAAAAAAAAAAAAAAGGTTTCCCAAAATATTCACTTATTCTGCTGCTTACAACCCACAATTTGTACAAGAGATACATCAATGTTTCTAAAAGATATTACAGTGGCATATGACAACCAGTAATTCACTTATGCACGCTCTAAAATATGCTTCCTGTTTTCCTTCGACTTAACTGTACAGTACTTCTTAAGAAAGTTCAATATGTCGATAGCAACGGGATCGGGCACCTGCTTTACGGCTTACTTTACTTGCACCAAAAAGTACCATCCATTCATGCAATCAACGTCGCATTGAAATAACAGATAGCTATCTAATTGTTATTAACTTACATGATAATCATCTAGCCATCTCTCCAATTTCTCCTGCAAAATGCTAAAGGAAGCAATGTTCACAAGTCTTCTTAGTGATTCCGCCATTTTCGACGCTTTAAATGCCACGCATGCGTAACGATGACAACAGCAAGAATCCTTCCTTAATCTATGAGTAGAATGGCATATAACTTTTTAAATGAATAATTGTGCACAAAAATTGATTTAAACTGTAAAAAGAATGCTTAAATTGTAAATGTGAGGCATATTTAAAAATAATTACATTGATCTCGCGAGACCGTTAATGCATATCAATATGGCGGTCAAAAATGTAAACAATTTGATCTCTTGCTAAATAACTGTAAATTCCAAGGTAACGTGATATTATTATGCATTTATGTATAGTAGATTATTTAGATTAATAATACAGCTCTATTTTGCATTATTGCTTTTTTGCATGTTTTAGAGGACACGTAGTCAAGTGTCATTATTTGGGTTTAAAAAAATTGTAGGAATTCATTCATTCTTATGGCTTGGGGTTATCCGTTTTCATCATCATTTCCACATATCTACAAAGAAAAGACTTTTTAGACCCCCTCCTCCACAAGTTAGAAGTAAATTATGAACAAAATGTCATAAAACATCGAATCCAAGTGTAGGGCTGGGCCAAACAATGATTTCTGTGTAGGAGAAAATATTTTTCAAGGAAAATTCGCTTGGGCGGGTAAATCTCACATAGATGAGCTTTAATTTCATTATGAACACTCAGGGACAATTAATATCTTATGCACATTGCTACCGCTGACAAAGGGAACTAGCACATGCGCCTGAACCTGCATATCTTATATAATATATTCAATTTTTTGTTATTATATAGGTTTTCATTGTACATCACACTGAATATTTATCTGTATATATATATATACTAGTTATCCTTACATACATTGTTGTATATAGCTTTTATGTATAGCTTGATCATATCATGTATGAAATGTTTTAGATAAATAAATGCTGGCACCAAATCGACAGACAGCAAGCTTCACATGTAATGGATGCTTTAATCTTTATATTAGACGCAAATGTACAAAATACTTGGTTTCTGCACATTAAATGTCTCTCCTTGAACTAGATTTGGGAAATTGATAAAATAATTTTACAAAAATATTTTGATGTATGGAGAATTTTGTAAAACATGGTTTATTTTTCATATTAACTTCTATTTTCAGAATTGTGGCAACAAGTAGCATTTGTGAAAATGGCAGATGGTGCAACACAGAGTACTTCCTATTATTCTCTGCAGCCAAGCCACATCAGGATGTCCATGAGGGACAAGTCACTATTAAAGCGTAGAGTCAATAAGGAACACAGCAGTAATTTCAGGGCTGGTAAATGTGCAGTTCTTTATGTGGGTTATTAAGTTCAACGGACTGTACCAGATTTAAGATTTTAAAACTCAGTTTGTAAATCCATTTACTGTTTCCCTTTCTTCTGTATTGCCCTGCTATAAAACTAGTTTCTTACAGTCTCATTGTGAGGAAATGTCACTGGTTTTGTTTCAATCAACCAGTCATAGGCATTTATCATGAGATTTTATGCACATGATATGAACATTGTAGAAATGAATATTTTCTTTTTGCTTGTAGGGTATGTTCATGTAAATGAAGAACACCTGCACAAGACAGGCCTGAGGGGAAGGAAGAGATATGTATTTTATGCTTTCTTGATTCTATTGCTCTTGATGGTTCTTGGAAATTTAGTTGTAAGTATTACTTGGTGGATTTTGAGCAAAAATATTACTGTATTGACTATTCAGAACTATTAAAGAAAGGTTTATATTACAGTATGTTAAAAGCAAACCAAGGAAAATGCATGGTATTGTCTTTCAGATTTTGCACTGTATATTCAGTTGATGATAAAGTGTAGGTGACATTATTGATAGATTACAGTTTGAAATAAAATCATTTGTCATTAACACATTCTTAAAATGAATTTTTGTTACCATATGTCTAAACTCTGAATTTTTTATATCAGATGAGCACTTTTCCTATTCTCAAAACTTCTGTTCTAGGTGACAATAGTCATCCTAAGTCTATTGAGGATCTCCCACACTGGTATTGCTGGAATGGAGTTCATTTCTCCCAGTTTAGTGCTGAGGTTCCTCACGGATGCCGACATGGGAGCAGTATTTCTGAATGGAAGTAGCAGAGTAACCAGTTTTCAGGACCTTGCAGTGACTGGAGAAAATCAGCCTGTAAGTAGATTAGTGAAAGGTAAATAGAAAAACACCACACCTTTTGAAGTTGCATGAAAAGGACAATGAAAGCTCTGACTTTTCATGTACATTAACTTTGATAAAATTTTTTGTTTTTGAAATTCAGCATTGACAAGGTCAAAATGCAAAGCCTTATTTTCCCCAATAACAGTGTATTATATACATAAGTCAGTGGTTGATGAAAAGCTTGGAATCTTAGTGACAATTTTTAATGCACTAAATAAAATAGTTTAATCTTCATTTAGTGTAGTACTTATATTTTACATATTTTTTGGATAGACCATTCAATTTGTTGAAATTTCCAAGATTTCTTTTCAGTGTAGCCTGCTTTCTTACTTGGACTTCTTTGAATCTGCATCTGTTGAATGGCTCAAAATGTGCCAGCCTTTTTGTCTTTTCTTTATCTTTTCTTATTTTGCAAAACAAAAATCAGTCTTTTCAACTTTCAGATCCACATGATGGTAGCTGGCAATGTTTCTTCAGGTGAGGAGCATGAAGTAGTGATACAAAGGCTTCAAGTCTATAATTACAATTTTTTTTTATAAAAAAAGGTGAAATCCATAGGAAAATTTTTTGAACATCTTTTAAAAATATCCATTATGGTGTAAAGTCTGAAGTGATTCTGAAATGATGATTTGCTTTTAACTCTTAGTTTTTGTCATTTAATTTAGATTTATTTAATTTTTTTTTACAGTGAATGTCCTGCCTCATGTTACAAGGATTGTTGTGAAGGATGCTTTTAAAATTATCCACCCACAAACGGGCAAGGTCCTGTTCTCCACAGATTTCAAAAAAGGATTCTCACACCCATTTAAACACATGGAAACTGCAGAAGTACTCACAAATAAGGTAGAATTTATATATGAATACAATTTCTGTTTTATGTCATTTATTTTTCATGCTGAATCAGTCTATGCATAATTGTTAAATAGTAGTGTTTTGAGGTCAGTCTCGGTGCTATTTTTATCTTTAAAGAATATGTATAAAATTAAGGTAGATCGGTCGTTACGTAATTTGACGATTTGCGCAATTTTAGCGCATCGTCAATCGTCTCTAACGACACTTCAGTCTGTTTTATCAATTTGAGGAAATAAAACAATTATCTATAAGATAAACATACATTATCAACTTGTCTGTAACTCTGTATGATCGATACAGATTTTCGACAACATTTGTCGACTATGATTCCATACGACAACTGTAGCACGTTCATAGACTTGCCCTTCAAGAAATCGCTCCTTTTCCAATTTGAATTGGCACTAGAAAAAGTATGACAGCTAAAGCTCACAAATTATGCACATAGGTGCTATATCATGTAAAGAATAAGTGTTGTAAATTCCAATCAAAGTGGCTGCGTACATTTTGAGGTAGAACGCCCTGAATGTACTGCAAACCGTAGCTTAGATTTCGATGTAAACCGGAAGTGCGTCGTAACGCCACTCATTTGGACTTAGAGAAATTTGGACTGAGAAATATTTCGTAGCTTATACAAATGTTCAGAAAATGGCCATACAGCTTGAAAAAAATTCACTAATCAAAATTGAAACTGCGTTATA